GAGCACTGTTGCTTAAATAGCATGGAGGAAGACTTCCATAGCCACAAGAATACCTTGGTTTCAAGTTATGCTGTAAGTGCTTGTGAAGGCAAGTCATGGCTATGCTAAGAAAATTAGTGAGCAAAATGAAATATTACTGCAAGACCATGGATGTTGGATGGATTGTGTTAGAAGAATTGACTATTAATGTATGCAGCTGTGTTTATACCTTCTCTGTTTACTGGGTAGCTTGGACAGCTTTCCTGTGTGGAAATTACTAAACTGGTTATGCTTCTCGCTGCTAAAATCTTTACTTTCATTTCTTGTTGGCTGTCAACAGCTGCAGGTTGCAATGAGTTGTAGTTCACAAGAAAAGCTAGTTTAGAAACTGTTTTACTCTTGAGTTTGAGTGTAACTGATAGAAAGTTGGCCTTTTAACTGATCATTTAAAGGAGAGTAATATCCTGAAGTGGGTTCTCACCAGTCACGTGGTTTGTTTAAAATTGTAGTAAGTGATTAATAAAGGGTTACGTGTTACCATATTGCATAAGGACCATGCTTATGTTCTTTGGTTTCTCCATCAAGTCTCATTTCATACATCCCTTTGGAAAGGGAACTGTGCACAACTTGGTAAATGAGAGATGAGCATTTTGGTTCTAGCCTGCAGATTGTGGCATAAGTTCATATTATCTCTATAACCAAGGAGAATTAGACCTAGAAAATACTTCAGCTGCTGGTACATAAACCCCAAAGTTGCATAGAATGGTATGTTTTCATGTGTCACATGCTGGATCCTTTTAAACTTACCAATTTAACTCCTTGTAAATTTTGTATATCTTTAAAATAAAGAGTTATGCTAAAAACATTGATTCTAATTAAGGCTCAATGAACATTTAAAAATATGACTCGGTTGTTCTCACTTCTGGCATACGGACCTAAACCTTATAGTAAATTTAACTCCATTTGTATTCTTTTGTTTATTTTGGTTCTGATGTAGGGTAGATGCTAGTTCTGGCTCCTTTCCAGGAGAAAGTTGGCTAAAAGCAACATTAAGGAAGCTAACCTTTGGGGGAATGAGTAGGAAAGTAAAATATGTAGAAAGGAGCTTTAATTATAAGCATGTGACCTTCAAAGTGTGTTACTCTTTTGTAAATGCATGATGATACTTGAACTCCAGTGAAACGATTGAGTTGCATTTTATTGAAAAGAAAAAACCCTAAATCTTCCGATCTAGTGCATAAACAAACTAACTTTGCAGTCAGTTCTTAGCTGATTAATCTGATTCTTCCCTGTTTTGTTAGCCAAGGGGATGGACCTTCAAGTATATGTATGTTTCGTTTGGCATGCTGAGCCTCAAAAACAAAGAAATTTTCCAGCCTGAGGTCTAAGAGAACAAAGGAAGTTCCCTGTTAAAAGTTTTTACTGTAGTCCATCAGTATTTTCTCTTGCAGCCCGGGGAGCTCTCAGCCATCTTATGTACAAATACACTGTATTTAATTCTTTTCCCCTTGAAAGAAGGCTTCTCTGGTTTCCTGAAGGACACATCCCTGTGTCAGATTTGAAACTTTTTTGATAAAGGGCCATCTTCAGATGGACAGGAGATAGTGTCTGCAAAAACAGTGTGGTTTTTTCTTCTCAGCACACGGGGACAATGCTCGACAGACTGTAAATCACACTGGAATTCAGAGGTAATTAAAAACCTGAAATTGTTCTTGGAAATAAAGGGAATTTAGTTTAACGTGGTCAGTGATGGAAATGTTAGTCACAGGACTTTGAGCAATGATTTCAACTTTTAGTAGATTGCTACAACATTTCTAATTAAGTTCCTTCTTAAAACACCTCACATACTAGTTGTATTTGTGAACTTCCACTTCAGTTTTCTTTGGGACCATGAAAACCCCATGACTCATTAGTCTGATGATGACTTTTAAAGAATGATGCTACATAAAGCTTTCTGATAGGATAAGTTTTATACCATCTAAAATGTTAGACTGCTTTATTTTTTTATATCAGAAAGACTTGGAGAGCTAGTGAGTATCAAGTGAAATGGAATCTGGGGAAGGCTAGCCATGATATTCCTGACTATTGTTAGGCAATATTCCAAGTAAAATCAGGAACATGTCAGCAGAAATCAGTTATATGAATTTGTAGTGTAAAAGACACTAATGAAGCTTACAGTGAAGCTGTGTTTGAGCCCTAAATTGTGATTTTAGCTTTTCAGGGAGCATTATAGTAGGCTAATTCACCAGCTCTCTCTCCTGCATGTGTCATTGACTGAGTCAGTTTAATTTATTCTTCAGATATTAGAATGCCATTAACTTTGAAGCAAGAAGGAGACTGGGTCTGTGGAATGCTATATAACTGGCTTGAAAACCACATATACAATTTCAGCCCCAATTCTGTCAGACTTCTTTTTATATGTAGACTAGTATGAAGATTACTTCCTGTATTCTGGAAGTTCCCATTTCTTTCTCTTTTCAGGAAGAGAAGGAATAGTTTAAAGCATATCATATATACAGTAGTGTTTGTGTAAGGTGTGCAGTTATTTTTACTTTGTCTTATGATAAGAATAGTTGAGACACTATTTTGGGTAATCAAGATACCTGTAACTCTTTAATACCAATTTTCTTCAGGGAAATGTAGGATATAGGTAGTAAGCTAATTTGATGCGTACAGTGAAGAAACTGTTTTTAAAAACAAATCTAAATAGACTTTTTTAGAAAAAAACCAAATGCCTGGCATTGCAGATACATGTAGGTGCTAACATATTTGGGCTTACTGTAAGGTCCTGCACTTTACCTTAGGATTCTCAGGGAAAGAGGTTTATACAGTTGTATGTAATGTGGGGTGTTGCAGTCTATCTTCAGCTAACCTTACTTAAAATATCATGTGTGCTGATCCACTGCAGTGTTCCTTTGAGTAACTCAGAAATCTAAACACAGTATTGTAGTTCCTCTAGGTAATAAAGCCCTGTAATCATCACTCAGTTAAAGATACTAAACATAAAATTGAGATACTGAATTTTGTATATAATAGGCATATATATGCTGCATATCATATGCATCTGTGGGTAATATAAATGTAAACATTTATGTTTGCAGTAACTTTGAGGATGTAGCAGACAGGTCTGTGCCTTGCCTGACTGACTGATCAGGTGGCTGAGAGTTGCTGGTGGTTCTGTTTTGCCCACTGGAAACTGCATCAGAGTACAAAGTCTTTACTAATTAAGTCTTATGTCCTCCTATCTTTCAGTATGTTCAAACTCAAAATCCATACATTTCTTTAGGAGGTATCTGCATGACTTTAGGCAGGGGGATGCAAATGGGGTCCTCCTGGGTTTGTTGGCAAACTGGGAGCAGTGTAGCTAATATGGCTTGGAGCCTGAATGAGTGTCCCTGCTTTGGAGCTGGGTGATGCTGCTTAGTTCCACGTGTGCTCCTGCACAGGGGAAGGAAGGTGTACCCCTGCCTGCTTGTCTCCAGACCCAGCCATCTTCAGTGGAAAGTGTTGGTGTCCTCAGGAGCACACTGGAAGTGGGATTTGTGTTCAAAATCTCTGATAAATTGGCAGGTTCTAGAGTGAGCCCTCTCTGGGGAAAAAGCACATTTTTAGAATGGGTTGATTCTAGTTTTGATCACACATTAATAATAGTTAATAATGGCTTGAGCATCCTGATGGTGCTCTGGATGATTTGGCATGCTTCCCAGCCAAGGTAGGTTACCTTTTGTACTCTTCAAATATAACTTGAATTTCAGCATCTGAAAAATGCTGGGAAAAACAAGGAAACCAGTTCTCTTTGCAGAGCTGAAAAACTGGCTGAGGTGAGTTGAGCAAAGAATACTGTTAACTGGGGGCTTCCAGCCTGGGCTGGTCAGCTGGAGAGAGCTTGCCTAGATCTGGAAGGTGTTGGGTCTTGGGGAGCAGAGCCTGGGCTTGAGCTCTCTGTAGCTGCTGGCCCTGTGGTATAAGAGGGCACCAGGTGGAGCAGCTTTACAAGATGAGAGCTCCCGCGGGGAGGTGCGGCAGGGCACAGGGGGACCAGCAGAGGTGGGAGGGTGACGGCAAAGGCAGAAGTCCTGACTCGTGCAGTTAGATTTATCACTGGGGCCTAGCTAAGATCTTAGGAGGGGCACTGTGGTGTATCTGGCTGTCCTTGTTACTGCTACAAACAGCTGAGCACATTACTACAATCTCTTCCACTGCAATTAAGAGTAGCAAAGGGAAGGACACTTTGTAACTGAAGTGCAGAGCATCGTTTTTGTCGGCAAAAGGCCTGCAGATCTGTCACTGTTTAAATAATAACCAGGTTTTTAAAGAAACATTTGTTTAGGAAAGCCTTGAGAAGACTGTCCAAAAATACAAAGATTAAAGGTTTAATGAGATTTGTTTTCTTGAGTGTTTCCAGAATGCTGTGTTAAGCAAAATCACATCTCTAAAGCAGGGAAGTTAAACCAAGTGCTTATACAGATTTTCCTGGAGTTGATGATATCCAGTGAAACTATCAGCCATCATTCATAGTGAATGTATTCTTATTGCTGTCACTGTGAGTTTTAATTGGAGAAGCCTCAGTTTCTCTAACAGGGCTAGAGAGAAACTTTTAGCTCTTTCCTTTGTGCTGTCAGAGGAAAGAGGGACATATCTCTTGGGAGTCAGCAGGATTCACTTGTGTACTGTGGGTACGTATTGTCTTAGTGGAGCGACACAGATTTCTTGCCGCAGGGGTTGTCAGCAGAACGGTGGGAGAGAGCAGTGGTCTGTGGTTTAGTGATGGCCAAGTAAACTACCCTGTTGCATGGAATGGTGTACATGGAGTTGAAAAGCTTATGACATGTAGAAGGGATTTTCAGTCTTTATTAAGAGGAGGGTAAAGAGTTGGAAAGGCAACTATAGGAGCACTCAGTGTGTGTCCATAGGAATGCTGATATGTTGCTCGTTACAGGAGGAAAAAATAATTAAACTATATAAATTTGCAGCTTAAATTTGGTAAAATAACTCAAGTAACTGGATCTTTACATGTTAACATTACTATTCTGTGTTCTCCACATCACTAAAATCAGCTCAATAAATGTAACTGCTATTTCCATACTTTTCTGAAGAGAATCATTACAAATAAACTAATATCAAAATAATTTGCTTTATTGCTGGTGATTTTCTATTACAATTTAGACTAAGTTCTATTTGCATGTTAGCATTTAAAGGGAATCAAAAGACATACTAAAAAGAAATAAGCAAAACCAAACCCTTAAAATTACTACTGACAATGTATACTCACTTTCAGAAATCCTAGTATTTTAAAACTGACTTCCTGAACATTGTAATTCTAAACCAGAGTATTTTATTTCCACTTCTCATCAAAATACTGATTTGTTTTCAGATTAGAGTAAAACCACACAGCAGAAAGAAAGGTTTAAAACTGTGCATGTGACTTATTTTACAATTAATGTTCCTACGTTTATTGACTAGATGTTTATTTACTAGAGTCATAGGTATGAGGTATGCATTTGTTCAGATCAGGTTTCTTGGGACACAGCCCAAGGTTTTCTCACTTTCAAATTTCAGTGACCTGTTTTCTGGAAGGTCTTAAGTCACTTATCAGAGAATAATTCTTTGAAATCTTCTGCCACCGTTATAAATTTTGAAATTAACATAGGTGAAATGATGAAATATGAAAACTCCTGTTATTCTGTCCTATTTAGGGAAATGGATAATGAACTGATAGCTAAATGCCTTCATGTCTAGGTCCAAGAGTCTTCACTGATGCTGACAGTTTAAGAGAGCTGGTTTTAAAGTTTTAGGAAAACCTGGAAAACCCTGACAAAAACGATGTAGGCGTGACTAGTTAGCTGTTATATCAGAATTGTATTTTTCTTAATTTAGCTTGGCCTTAGGTGACTGCCGTAACTGTTTTTCCCCAGACAAATTCTTCATGTGTTTTTGGTGCAAACTTCACTGTGAGCCTTTTGATTTTCAAACATTTGCTTTTGGCAGCTGTGCACTTTGCTTGCTCTATGTGTCAATGCTTTCGGAGAGATGGCTAGGAATAGTTTTGTATTCTGATACATTCTAATGAAACTCTGAGCTGCTCTTAGAAACAGTAGCATTGTTAGATACATTGTTCTGACCGATTTAAAATGCTGGTTTGCATGGTTTTCTTGACCCTACTTTTTCTTGATATTCCTCACATAATTGGCTTCTCCAAACCTTTGAGTTAATTTGTTTAATGCCTGATGAAATCTTGGTGAATGAGTGTTAGCAAGATTCTTGATTTCTGTCCTCTACACCACCCACCACTTCAGCTCTCTTACCATGCAGTGTGAGCCTCACATTTATAAGCCAGATTGACCTTGAATTTACTTTTTTGCCTTAAATCTTCCCAGTTACTTTGTGAAGAGATAAAAAATTGAATGTATTTTCTCTTCCTATTTGCACCACAGGGTATTACTCAAAATCACTGCTTTCCTAATCTTTATACCTAAGATTCTTAGTACGGGTGACTCTTAAAGCCTGCTGTGTATGGCAGTCATTTTTACCGTGTTGTTAAGATTGGCCCTGTTTCTGCTGGCACTTATTTTTGGAGTAGTTGCATTACTTGTGATATTTTAAGCAGTTTAAAGCCTTTGAGAAAATAATCAGTCTTAAGTAAGATGTATGAGTTACCTTCATTATAATGCAATTTCATTCAAAGTGAAACAGCAGTAATTCATCCTTTCATAGTGACAGTGAATAAAGGATATAGACTGAGAGTGAAATATTAATGTAATAAAATTAGGATTTTGAAACATCTAGTAATTTTTATTCCTTTCTTGTATAAAAGATGGTGTCAAATACTAGTGTTGAAAGTAATTTTTTCCAAGATTATATGTAAAAGATATATGTTGGGATTTCTGTGTTTTGGTTTTTTTGTTTGGTTGGCTTTTTGGTTTTTGGGATTTTTTTTGTAATTGATATACCTGAGTCTTTCTGTCCCACAGTGACATAAATACCAACTGGAATCTTTCTGATGTTTGGATTGGGACCTTACTATTCCCACCCTGCATCTGAAGGCTTCCGGCAAAATCTGATGCCATTTTCAGAGTGAATGTGGAACATATGGAAATTGGAAACCCCTTTGCAGTTTTCTAGGAGAGCTCTTCAGTGTCATGTTGGTGGTGGAGAGAAAGTGGGAAAGTTGAGTACTACTGGTTTGGGTTTGACCTGTGGTGTTCCTCTTGTTATCTGAAGGCATTCAGTGTGTCTTCCTTTTGATATGAAGTGACAATAAAACAATGCTGTATTTGATTGACAAAAAAGTTCTTTGTAGCATTGCATCCAAATAAAAGCTTCTGCTTTAGCAACCAATCACTCAGTCTATATATTGTGCTTCAGATAAATGCACAGTGTTATGAGATGGATTTACTCATTCCAGTAATTTTACTTTAATTAGATACTACTGGAGGATCTTCAGAAGTGACTTTTTTCCCCTGTAGCTGCAGAATTGTTTGTGGCAACAATTTAGTAATTCAGTGTTTTGAGGAAATCAGCAAAGGTCAAAATAAATAGTTACCAGCAACACCACTTCAAAAGTTCCTCTTCAGCCTTTGTTTTGCCAAGTTTTACCCTTTGCTCTGCAGCTAGCCCTTCCTCTGAGGTGCATCTGGATTTTCTCTGAGTTGGGCTGGGGAAGAATTAAACTCTGAGTCACTGTAGGTCAAAGCCCTGCATTTTCAGATGCTGAAGGAAGCTCTAGTGAGGGGTTCACTAGAAAATGCCCCAAAGGGCTGCTGTTTTCATTTCCTGAGTGAGCAGCGGTTCTGTTCTGACTGCTCTGACCCCACAACTCTGGTCAAGAAATAGCAGCAATTAATGATTAATGAATTGGCAGAATTAACGAAGTGGCAGGTAACCTTCACTTTCCCAAACCCACTGTTTCCCTGACTGCTCAAGTAGCACCTCTTGCTCTTCCTCCAAAACCCCAGGCCTGTCCAAGCACTGGCAGTGAGACTGGGGATTAAGGACACTTGGTGTAGGGAGTGACGTGAAGAGAAAGTGAGGAAAGAGCAGAACCAGCAGTGTGATGCCTTAGTGTGAGACATTTGGGAGCTGTTGTAGATTCCTGGGCATAAATTCTTTGAGACTGTTTTCTGCACACTGGCAGATGCTAGAGGATCTTTTGCTTTGGTGTAGATTAGAAATGTGGTGTCCCTGCTCCTCTGTCCTGCCACCGTAGGGATTAGTGAAGGTGAGCAGTGGGTGGCCTGGAGGGTTTACACTGATACTTGTTACTTGTACTGCTTCAGTGCCTATCACTAAAGTAGTTGATTGTTTCTATATCTATTTTTCTACAGTTTCTGTGCCATTATTAGTTTATCAAGATGTTTTAAAATAAGCTTTTATTTCTATTTATTTTTGTAATGGGAAGTCGGAGCTGATCCTGGATCCTGTGGTATTTCTGTACTGCAGAGATGAGCTCTGTGAGTATACATCAGGAATTTCTCTGTCTTTGTGGATGAGCAGCATACTTGCATGTTACTTCTATAATGTTGTATTGCTGTTGATGCTTGTGTAACTTCTGACAGCCTTGGGGGTTCTGGAGAGATAAATAATCTCAGTGTCCCTTTGTGCATACTGTATATTTTTCCTTTGTTTGGTGCAGCAGGTTAGGTGGAAAAAAGGAATTAAAAAAGGACAACTTTTGCATCCTCTTCTTTTTGTCCTAACAGGTGGCGACAGACAAGGTTGCAGGAAAGCTGAGCTCTACTCTCTCATGGGTGAAGAACACTGTGTCACACACCGTCAGTCAAATGGCCAGTCAGGTGGCAAGTCCATCTGCCTCCTTACACACAACATCCCCCTCCACCACTCTGTCCACACCCGCCCTGTCGCCATCCTCACCAACACAGCTGAGCCCAGACGACTTAGAACTACTCGCAAAACTTGAGGAACAGAACAGGTGAACGGAAAACTTTTTGCTCTTCGAAATACAGCAGTGAGACTGAAATTGTTTTATTGCAATTGCAGCATAGAGGCTGTTAAAGGGGGGTAGGTAAAACGTTATGGCACAACACTTCAATTCCAAGGCCCTAAGGTTTAAGAACTTATATTCTTGTGCTATGTTTTTACAACTTCTGTTTTCGTGGAACTCTAAAAGGTGTTTTTCTCTCCTGATTTTACAGGAGCATTTGTAGCTGCTTCTAATAGTGAGAAATTATGCTGAGTCTGTGATTTTCGGTATCCAATTTAAAATAGAGTATCTCAGGGATGAGACTTGTGTATAACCTTACCTTCTAAGGTCAAAACTATACTTCCTATTAGCTTCTTGAAATCTTAAGTATTTCTAAATTCCATTTTCTCTATTTTTTCCATTTTTACCCAGTTCTTGCTTTTAACTACATAACTTTCTCTGTATAGAGATAGAACAGCGTTCAACCACGTTTCTGCTGTTAACACTACTGGTAGTAATTCCTAATTAGTCCTTTCTTCTTGCCTTTTTTTTTTGTATAGTAGGTAACCATTTCCTTGGCAGCCTTTCCATGAGTGCATATTTTTTTGCACTGTGTGCAATTCAAGGTGCAACTTTTAGGTGTATCAGTTGCTCTTCATGTGCACAGTGATTGCAAGTTTGCAGTGTCACTAAAAACTGGAACTGGACTGTATAATTTCTTAATGCTGAATTTCCAGAACCCGTACGCACTTGCACTTTCGAGGCAGGACTTCTAAGTCATCTGTCCTCTTGCAAAATTTGGTTGTGTTTGATAAATATGTTTCAGTAGTCTTTGAGAGGTTGACTGCAAAGAACTTGAGCTCCAAATAGATTTTTAGACTTGGCAGGTATCTGCAGGGCTTTCATACCTGCTGGAGATGGCTACCCCTGTGCTGTAGTGCAGTGCAGTGATTGCTAATTTAACTCAAACTAGTTCCAGTTTCTGTGAGTGTGACTGGACTTTGTGCTGAGGCAGTTGAGGTGCTCTATTTTTGGTTGGGTGGTTTTTGTTTGTTGGTGTGTGTTGTTTGCTCTGCTGATTCCCTTATGAGAGTAGTAACTTCCAGTGGAGAAGAGTAACTGAGGGAGAAGGGGCTAATGCCTTTGTGTCACCTGGCAAGTCTTCTCTCATGTTTATATTCTGCAGCCTAATAGCAGTACAGTTTGCAGGGAATTTGATATATCTGTCTAGTTCTTGACCGAGAACAGAAGGAAGCTTCTAGAAGCACATCATCCTCTCTTCCTTGTGGTTTATGAGATTGTCTCTCTTTGAAGATGAACTATATGTAATTTTTGCTGTGCAAATGAAAAATTATCAAGAGAAGCAAAAAATAGTTAAATAGTGCTTTTAAGAAAGCTAATTTGCATTTAATCTGAGGCCTCCTACTCTGTTCATGGCAAAGTGACTTTTATTTGTAAAGCAAACTGTTCTTTGGACTGCTTATCTATGTTGGAGCATAATGTCTTTACATGTAGAGTCATCTCATTAAGCCCTGCAGTTAGACTAGCTGGCTTGTTGAAAGAAGAATATGAGCCTGGGCTTTCTTTTTCAACTCAGCTTTTTTCATTTAGTAAATAAATTAGCAAATCTTGTCAGGTTTTATTTAATTTTAGCCAGACCTGTTGTTCAGTCCCCCACTAGTCTTGTGTATGAATTGTGATGAGAAGCTACCCTATCAGGTGTACCTTTCCTCGTGACATACTGCCCTTTAATACTGAAATTTGATGCTCTCATGCTGGGTTCACTGTAGTTTCAGAACAGTTTGCATCTGCAGTTTTGCACAGTGGCACTTTGTTGACAAGAAATTGTACTCTGTTCAGAGGGAACCATTCTTGTTTCTGCTTGCTGGAAGAACTGCTGATGATGCATGTTTTTAAAGATTTCCTTTTCATTGTTGGCTTTTATGTCAGTAAGGAGAATACGAATTAGTTAAACAGCTAGAAGAGGGAAGAACTCAAATTGTATCAAGCTATGTCTTGTAGCATTCTGTAATCTAATTATACTGAAAGTCCCCTCAGAATAATGAGGTAGCTCAGTCCAGAGTCCTGGTGCAACAGTTTGGCATTAGTAAATCATTTATAAAGTTTTAAATGAAAGAAAGCAGTGACTAAACATCACAGAACTTGCTACTTACTGTAAAAAGAACTTCCCATTTTCAAATCTAAGAACAATGAGTTTATCCAGGTAAGGTCAAATTGCAGAAACTTAGTGTAACTTCTATAGAAAGCTGTGAAAACTGGAAGTGACTAGTTAGAACCTTGTTTTTGTCATCTTAATGTTTATTCTGTGCTTGTTTTTGCTCTGTGATTACTTTGAATTTGATGTTTAGGCATTATTGTGGATTGAGGGGAGTTCCAGACTACATTTTCACTATGGGTCAATATAAACCATGCTTCTAAACATTTAAAATGGATTTTTAAAATATTTTCTTTAAAACTTGATTTTTTGCATTCCATTAATATGGACTAAATGAAAATTTGTCTTAAAAAGGCTTTGTTGTTTGTTTTTTTTTTCCAGAGGCATTACCATTTAACCCTTTTCCAAACAAAATACTGCTGTAGACTGTACTTGTCATTGTGAATTAAATTACTTTTCCCACGCCTTTTATAAACACCAGTAGGTGAAAGCTGGGAAAGCTAATATAAATATCTCTGTTGTAGCAGAGAGCTTAAAAATTGTAGGTATGCTGAGGTTTGTGTACCATCTCAGGTACAATATACCTCAGCTTATGATTTATTAAATATCTAGACCATAACCTTTCTGAAATGCTGGGCAGGGACAGCTTTTGTGCAGGTGCATTGAGAAATTATTCAACCACGTGGCTCTCATATACTCATGTTGGAATTCCTGGAAGTTAAAGCACAAATGAAACTCTTGGTATAGCAAAGTTAACACTTTCAAGTTAGTCTGAATTCTTGCTCTTACCTAACACATGGTCTAAAAAATTTCCCCCTGTATATGGGGCTCAGTGTGAGTTGAGGATAAACAAAGCATGCCTTTTTGCCCAGAATCCCAGCTCTTTGCCAAGCTGAGGGCCATAGCAACCAGCTAACAGGGAAGCCTCTTCAGGAACTTGTCTGGCCCTTGGCACATCTTTATGTGTGCTCTGCTGCCTGATAACCCCAGAGGTTCTCACATTTGAACTCTGCGCATTAATTAAACATTCATTAGCTGTACTAATCACTCCTGTCGCCTGGTCCCCAGTCTTTAGGTCAGGGATTTCTCCCTTGCATTTATAAAACAGCATGTTGATTTGTGAACAGTTGTCAGCAAATGCCAGGTGTTTTAAAATTCCATCAGGTTTTAATTATTTTGTCTGTATTTACACTGTCAATTTTAAAAAAGTGTAATCAGGTAGAATTTTAGGAGGCTAATTATTTGTCTTTTTAATTACTGTATTTTTTTAAGTACTCAGACATTTGAGACTATCATTGGGGATATTTAACTTCCTTAGGTTCTCTTTGTCAGTCTGATACATGACAGCTGTGGGTGACATCTTTATCCATTTCTTAAAATGCTGCAGTGTGAACTGTTCTGTCTGCAGCATTACTTGAGATCTCAAGAGAAAACACTAACATTGAACAATTCTTTTCAAATGTAGTACAAATTGATGTTCCATTGAACCTCTGGGTGCATTCTTTGTCAAGAGATTGGAAGAACTGACTTACAAACAAACAATTAATAGTGTGATCCTTTGATTAGAAGAACTTGAATTTGAGTTTTGTGTGCTTTCTTTGCAGACTCTTGGAAACCGATAGCAAATCCTTACGATCAGTAAATGGGTCAAGAAGAAACAGCGGATCGTCTCTTGTATCTAGTTCATCAGCTTCCAGCAATCTCAGCCACCTTGAAGAAGACTCATGGATCCTGTGGGGGAGGATTGTGAATGAATGGGAAGATGTACGGAAAAAGAAAGAAAAGCAAGTTAAGGTAGTAGCTGGACACCGGGATTTTTGGATATATTTGTATTGTGATATAAGTGAGACTGTGTTCCATCTTCCTGTTGGGCTTACTTTTTTAAAATAAATATGTAATAGAAGCTTACAGTTGAATCTGTTCCATCCCTAGGCCTTAGTCCTTCCTATGTAACTGTTGCCCAGCAAATGTCTCCTACTGAAAACTAGATCCATTTACCGTATTTTGAATACTAAAGCTTTCAGTCTACCTCTAAAGAGATTTCCATGAGTACAGGGATAATTAGCTTCATGTTTCCAAAAATGGAATTACTGAAAATCAACTTAAGGGCATCTGATAGCTGGATGCTGTGATTATTTTCCCCACTGAGCAGTTCTCTTTTTAAAGCATTCTTAACAGAAGAGCTGATAATTCTACTGTATGAGGCTCCCATGAGTTTGGGTTTTTTTGCATGCCGAGTATGTTGACCACTGGGCAAACTTTGAGCAGTCTGTCCAGTCTGGGTTAGTTGTGGGCATGCACAGAAGTAGAGTTCAATTACATTTTAAATTCAAGCTAAAAAGCATCTAGTGCACTTGAATGTATCCATGTTTCAGTGGCAGCAAGTACAGCAGTGTGGGATTTCTTTGTTTGTAGGCAAGTCTGTTCTGCTTTGGTTCTTTATTGGGCTGTAGTCTGTAGTTTTATGTGCAGAATACAAATGTCGGGGTCTTTTGAACAGTTTGAAATGTGTGTCTATGAATAGGTTGTGGGAAGGCAGAACAGTGGGCTAAAGTAAAGTGTCTTTTATGTGAAGCAGTTGTGAAGAGAGAACATGACTTGAGAGGAAACAAGGGAAGAAAATGAACTCAAGACTTCCTGCTTGCATAGGGAAAGCAGTTTCTGGAAAGGTGTTCCAAAAGGCCATGAAAAGAAGGCCACATGAACCTGGCAAGAGAAAGGAGAAGTGAGATGGTAATAAGTAGATCTGGTTAGTTAGAATTTGTTTGAACCCTATCACCTGTCACAAGTATCACTTGTTTTTACAGCTGACCAAGTACAATTTGGGGAGCATTTGACTAACTTTCAGGGAATATTTAATTAAATTGCTAACTAGTATTATATTGAAAACTAGCCAAGTTTTCCTTTGCTGGTTAAATAATTCTCAGTATTTTTTTGTCCAAAGTCAGCCTAAACTCTGTCAGTCTGCATTTACGATGGAATATCAGAACATCCATTCCTATTTCCTGATTGTGCCGGTAGGTACATAGGTAGCAACATGGGTGTCTTTTTGTCCTGGCTGTAAAAGATGCTCTTAGGTTATTAAGAATCTGGTAAGTTTTTTAAGTTTTAAGCATAGGCATCTATACCTTCTTCCATAGGTGATGTGTTCCACCCTTATGTCTCTCAATCCACTTCAGAACTCAGTTCCCATTTATGAGGGATTCTGAAGGATGACTTAAGTCCTGCTATTTGATTCACATGATACTGTGTAGAGTAGCATCATTTTAGTGCTGCCTAGTAGGGGTGTTTTCTGCTGCTCCTTTTAGGAAAGCTGGAGGGGTTAACCCTATTATTCTGTCAAGCAGGTACATGGTAACTCAAAGCACTAGCAATTAGTTTCTTGCTTTATTAGTAGCCTTTGAGGCTTTAGATGACTGATGTACGGTCTGATAGTGTGTTGTTGACAAAGGATAGCTAGAGACAGGTGTGCAAAGCTGATTTGTTAGGATTCTTCACTTGGAGCTGGCAATCTTTAAGGGAATAACACAGCATGTCTTAGTGGCATTACTATGATGGTTCTGAGGAAGGAGGGATGGAGAGCTTAGGGATATTAGAAAATTGATTACTCTGGCTTCAGAATAAATAATAGTGGAAGGAATTATCCTTTAGGAGACAAAATGTTTGATAATAGTTCTTAAGGTACAAAAAATGATTAAAGGAAACATCTTGAAGAGACAATCTTCTGGGTCAGACTGATTCTAGTTGCAGGAAGGACCACTAAGACAGTCTGTAAAATTCCTGAATAATACTTCTTTCTCAGTTTTCAGATTAAGCAGCAAAACTACTTGTCCTTGTGATTTCTTAAAACACAAGTAACAGGTTTATAGTTCTACTGATCTGGGCATGTTTAAATCATATAATATCTAGCTGATTTTTTTTTTAAGATAAAGTAAATTAGTTAATTTAATAGATGTAAACTTAATGTTTTCTTGGTCCGGTGTCTGAAACTGCATTTAGATACTTTCTTAGAAGGCAACTTGGAAATACTGGCACACCAGAGAAATTAGACACAACTTGTCAAGTTTGTTAAATGACCTCTGATATTTTTATTGTACATATTTTTTGTTGCAGTTGGCTGTGCTACAGTTAGTTTCAGTTTTTGTCATTTACCTATCTTGGAAATAATTTTTAGTTGGTGATTTCTTAAATCTCACTTAGTACAAATTTTACCAAAGGGTCTTATGTTTAGTCGTCTTTTGTGAAATTTAGAAATAATTGTATTAAATTCTGGTTAATGAAAGTTCTTGTATAAAATTATTTGAATATTCAGTTTTTCAAGTAGCTTACCATGGATAGGGTACTACTTTCATTAGCTAATTTAGCCACTGAAAATCATTCAGAGACTGCTTACTTCTGTTAACTTAATAATCTATCACACTAAAATTAAAGTTTACCTGTTATAAACTGTATGATTAGTTTTTGCTATGATGTAAATTTTTTCTGAAGTTACGAAGAAGTTAATTTGAAGTGTTTTGTTCTTTAGGCTTAAGTTTACATTTTTAGGAGATATAAATTAATTTGTCTTTTTGTGCTTTAGGAGCTGGTTCGAAAAGGGATACCTCATCACTTCAGAGCAATTGTTTGGCAACTTTTATGCAGCGCTCAAAGCATGCCAATTAAGGATCAGTATTCAGAGCTTTTGAAAATGACGTCTCCTTGTGAAAAATTAATAAGAAGGGACATTGCTAGGACATACCCTGAACATGATTTTTTCAAAGAAAAAGATAGCCTTGGGCAGGAGGTCTTGTTCAATGTAATGAAGGTGAGTCAGTATTTCAGCCCTTGAAAATATATTAGCAACAAGATGCACAAACGTTTGGATTGCCTTGTGTAGAGTGAACTTGCACCGGTTTCATGGGTTTGGTTTTTTTCAACTTACTCTTTTTTAAACCATTGACATTGGAATGGTTTAACAAATCACATTCCAGTTTCAAAGAGAGCTTCCAATGGTATTCCTATAAGCTTTTTAAATCTCTTACAATGTAAAACCATTAAGTAGGCATTAAAACAAAGTCACATGCGAACTGCTGATAGTATAGTGGAATGAAGTGTGCCATGAAATAAAGTAAACAACATTCACCAAGACAAGAACATCGACAATCAGAACTAGTATTCAGTTTTCAAGTATTTCTGAACCTGCAAGTGGTAGCAGCAAATGGCAGGTACAAGCTAATGGTCAGTTGTTCCAGTGCCCAAAAACAAAATAAGAAATGCCAACATAAAATTGTTTGCATTATTTTGTCTTCACTGTACTAGAACTTAAATTTTGAAAGACAGACCTTTCCGTACACCATAGTTTCAACAGAAAAGTTAGCAGGTTTCCAGATCTTAGTAACTTCCATAACTCTAAAATGAAGATGCTACATGCATGAAAATCAACACATTTCATCCTCCCATAGATAAAACTGCAGCACGTATTTTTTTCTGAAAAAAACCCAACTTGTTTCTTTGTCTGGTCTGTCTCTTACAGAAGTAGTAACCTTGTGTGGTTTGTATGCCAGCTGGCTCTGATATCTTGGCAAATTCCTGTAGTTGAAAACTGCTTGTATTTTTGGTAGGTTTGCCTTACTCTCAGCTTTGTAGGTGATCAGAGAGCAGACTTCATACCCTTTGTAGCAGCAACTAGAACATCTGACTAAAACTTCTAAATAGAATGTCTGCCCTTGCTGGATTTTGGAATGGAAGAGTGAGTTATTAGCTAGATAGCAGGATGAACTATGATTACTTTTTATTGGTGATGAGGTTTTAATTGTTGAGAGTCTTAACTTTATTTCCCAGGCTTATTCTTTGGTGGATCGTGAGGTTGGATACTGTCAAGGAAGCGCTTTTATAGTTGGATTACTGCTTATGCAGGTAAGCATAATATTAAATATGTGAACCTTCAAAATCCCTGCTAGAATGCATAATATATTGTGGTGACTTGTTGGGAATTTTTACAATAGTGTTCTTCATCATTTTGATAAAATGGAGTTGTCAAGGGCAGCTGTTTACTCTGCAAATGAAATGAGATTTACTTTCTGTTGCTCTATTTGCCAAGATACTATATTGGAGTGAGAGAATACATTTATTTCTCAGAGCTAAGGTAGGACTGCAGGCTTGCAAGTTATTTTGATGAGTGTTGTTTCAACTATTAATGAACTTCTCATTTCAGTTCTATTACACTGAATCTCCTCAGAGTTGAAATGAAACTTCACACTTGATTTGATTGTTTTAAAGCTGTGTTTGTATTATCAGTTTTTGTTTTATGACAAAGTAGAATATACAATAAAAAACTACTCGTAGACCTCCATTTCAGTTTAGAAATAATTTGATAGAATTTAGTATATGCAGAAGTTCAAAACAAAACAAAACAAAAACCTTGAAACAAACAAACAAACCAACAACAAAAAAACACATTGCGTACACACCCCCAACCCCAACCCCCAGAGCCCTCCCAGGCACTTACTTTGATATATCATTCCATTTGTCCAGAGTTTTTACTGTGCTTTTTTATTTTTAATATAGATGCCAGAAGAAGAGGCGTTCTGTGTGTTTGTTAAATTAATGCAAGATTACAGACTACGAGAACTCTTTAAACCAAGCATGGCTGAACTGGGCCTTTGTATGTACCAGTTTGAATGCATGATACAGGTACATACAAAATCTATCAAACTTTCTCTTCAGAAACTATTAATAAGGAACTTGGGAATTACAGTTCAAGAGCAGGCATATCTGTTGGCTAATGGGCTGCACTCTTGACAGTAGCTAGTTTCAGAACTTCAGAAGTAAATGCATGTGGCTCTGTGGGATACTTTTTTTTAACCTTTGGCAGACTGACTGGCTTTAAACACTGAAGCATGAGGATTTTTATCACTTCAGGTTTAGGCATATGAAAGACTAATTTTGTTTGAATTGAAGACTCTGGAAGTCAAATTCTTCATAGTCAATTTTTAGCTATTTTACAAGATGGAAACTGGAAGATATCCTCATGTGGAATTGAAATTGTTTTCAGATTATAACTCAGAGCACTGTCTTCCTGGTCAGGTTGATGGAGAAAAATAGGTTTGTGTTTTGTGATCCAGTTTATAACATGATGATCGGGGTGGGATATCCTTAGATATTTCCAGCTCTTTTTGTTCCATTTTAGATGTTACTTAGGGATTTATAAGTGTGCTGGTTTAAGAGTTAACCAGCAGGGGAAATGAACTCAACTTAAAGGAGAGGTTATAAGTCAGAATAACAATTTACTAAAATAATACAGTAAGTACAATCATACAAACAAACAATTGGTCTTAACCCACAAAACCCAAATGTATAACCCAGTACCCTGGGGCATGAACAACGTGGTGTTCCTTGGGCCCCGCTTGAGTCCAAAGTAAAGGGAGAGGGGAAGAACCTGCTGGTGGGAGAGCGGTTGCAGTCTGGTCAAAAGTGGTGATTGCAGTCCAGTTGAGGGTGGTCTAAATCTGGTTGAGAGCAATGAGCTGCAGTCTTTCTCTGGATCCCACAGAGTGGTTAAAAATGTTCCAAGACTCCAAGATTATATCCTCCAGTTCAGGCAGGAATGTTCAGTGCTTCCCTCAGGGCGGGGAGTTCCACAAAGGGTGTGAGGACAAGAGCATCCTCCTATCTCACAGGCCTCTTAGCACCTAGTTTATAGCCTGAGGAGTCAGGCTCTATGGGCAGAGGGTTCGAATAGTCTGTTGACAACAGTTTCTGGGAAATGGCATGGAAGGCTACAGAATACACAGTTTTGGGTTACACCCATACCATGATGAACTGGTCTCAGTTGTCCTAACTAGGACAATAAGCTTGTGACTTCCTATTAGGATCAGGAAGCGTTTTTGTAATCTGTGCTTTGCAGGGTGGAAGTGCTGTAGAACATTCTATATTGGGACTTCTGTTGCATGGTTCTTGATAATGATGACTCATAGCATTCCTAGTCCTGTGTTGCTAAGCTGTTGTCTGTACTAAATATCAGTTATTTTCTTCTTTTATTCAAAATTTGTCAAAACCATGTCTGCACTGACTGCAAGCAGAAGCTTAACATACTTGGTTTTTTTATTCCTCTTCTTTTCCAGGAGCATCTTCCAGAGCTTTATGTGCACTTTCAGTCTCAGAGTTTTCACACTTCTATGTATGCATCATCGTGGTTTCTAACTATATTCCTTACAACTTTTCCACTACCAATTGCAACGAGAATATTTGATATCTTTATGTCTGAGGTAACTACTAAATGCTCATAAGTTATATTTTAAGAGTAGGTGTTAAAAGCAGTCATTTACTTTTTAGTTCTTACACCGATCAAATTATTTTAAGGGGAAGGTGTCTGTGTGTCAAGTAGTTTGTCAAGGAAGAGGAACTAAGTCTCTGAATGTGGATCCTGTGTGTAACTTTGTGCTCTAACCTATTGAGGGGTTACCACATCTGTTCTTTCTGGATGCAGTGCAGTAGCATTGCATGCAGCACGGACATCATTTTCTCAGTAGTACAGTAAGTTTGCAGGGGAAACTAATACTGCTTTCAGGCCCAAGTCAAGTTCCATGGGCATGTGCAAGCCATGAAGAGGGAGTGTTAGTAACTTATTATTGTCTGGATGATGAATAGTAGCCAAAGAAATTTATGGAATTTTTCAGTGTCACTATCACAAAGACACATTGTCTTGTGTTTAGGATTAGAGCTTTGCATCATTGTAACTAGTAACAAATCATAGCTTGTGGTCCATTTATGCTCTGCAGTGATCTTTTAGAAAATAGTAAGTCAAAGGTGGATCCTTTTAGCTTACCCTCAAGAATGTCTGAGATAGGGTATATATGGAGACGTTCCCTTATATCTGTTTCAGTAGGTTAACTGTATTGTACCATATCTGAAATTAAAATGGCTTTTTGGAGAAGTACTTGGGTGTTTTTCTACTAGGTATATTTAAAATGTTTGATGGAGCTGACCTAGAGGACTCTTGTCACTTGAGTTTTCACTTCAGCAGTGGCCTCTCTGAGGGGGGTGTCTGACATCAGGACAAACAGCCAGACTGCTTGTCCCTAGAACAAACTAAGAAACCCAGAACCCGTTGTTGAGAGACTTTTTTTGTAGCCCTTTTGCTTGTCTGAGAAACTGGGTGAGATTTCCATCATTAATAAAGAGGCATCACACTATTGATGATGCCATGAATAATTGTTGGATATTTTTTAACTTCTGTTTTCAGGGTTTAGAAATAGTATTTCGAGTAGGTTTAGCACTACTTCAGATGAACCAGGCAGAGTTACTGCAACTTGACATGGAAGGAATGTTACAGGTAAGTTATGATTATAATAATTTTGAGAGATGTCTGATATGTGTAGTGTGTGTGTGTATTTCCTCACAGCTATTAATTATGTGTAATCTTGTGCTCTGATTGCTTTTAGCACTTTCAAAAGGTCATTCCACATCAGTTTGACAGTGGTCCAGACAAATTAATCCAAGCATCTTACCAAGTCAAATACAATGCAAAAAAGATGAAAAAGTAGGTATAGCATTTTGAGAAAATAGATTATACTGTTGCTAAGAAGCTACTGTTTGTTTATCTTTAAAACTAGTTATTCAGTGTTTATTTTTTAATTTTCCATCTTTAATTTTTTTTTGTTTTTATACTATATAAACAGTTAAAGCTGAGTTCTGCCTGTAAGAAAATTATTTTAAAGCAGTATTTGCTATTTTTCTTTGTAAAAATAACCAAAAAAGCTTTGAAGAAAGAATGGGGAATTACAACACTTCTGTAAACAGGAGCTGAATAGGAAAGCTGGGTGGGGGGTGCTTTTGGAGGGGAGGGGAGATTGTTTGGTTTTTTTCAGGGTGAGGCAGGGAAAGGAGTGCTGGTTCAGAGTCTGTTCATACCTACCCAAATCTGTGTTTAAATTTAATGTCTAGTCTAAGCATTTACAGGAGTGCATTTCAGAGGAAATATCAATAATCTGTATCTCTGTTCTACTGATATTTGTTTGTTAGTTCACCAACAAGTAAATTATCCACAAGTTTTCTAATCCTAATTTACTATTTCTAATTTTTAGGTTAGAAAAGGAATACACTACAATAAAGACAAAAGAAATGGAGGAACAAGTTGAAATTAAAGTAAGAAAGCCTCAACAAATTTATTTATGAATCAGTTTAATTCCTAGGGGGGAGGGTTACATGTTTGATCTGTACATGTAGCAGGACATGTAATTAAAGTCCCCAAATTCTTTTCTTTCAGCATTTGTATTTGGGATATCTATTCATAAAGGATACCTACAGTGAAATTATTGAGATTTCTGGTGAACATTAAAAAAAAAAAATCTTTAGAGACCTGCTGTACTTATTTTTTATTATTTCCTGCTGACTAAAGCTTGCTTACAGATGGCCTCATTTATCAGGGGTTCCAAATATGCTGGTTTAGTTGTAGGTGTCCCACACAGGAGCTTTGTATGACACATGTTAAGACAGAGTTTGTCAGAATGCATTTGAGTGGTTTGTCATTGATTTTGAGATCTTGATTTTTCCTGTGCATTGGACCCAAAATGGAGACTCTTCTGTCTGGAGTCACCTTTTCTTTTGGAGCTTTTGCAGTTAATACTAAGACTGGGGGGGGAAAAGCCAACCTGCCAGTGCAGTTTATTTTTCCCTTTTACTAACTGACCTACTTCCCGTATCTACTTAATCACTGCATCTTTTTCCTTTTGAGACATAAATAGGCTTTTGATGCCTTTTTTTCCTTTTTCTCATTTTTTTTTCACAGCATGTTGTTTGATCTGGATTTTCTTTCTTGTGTTTTTAGACAATTCTGTGAGAAAAGGCAGTGGGAGAAACGATGGGCAAGTGCATTAAATAAAGCTTACAGAGGGAGTGAGGTACAGCCTTCCTTCCTGTCCACTGCTAGTCATTTTGCTTTTCAGTGTCAGTTCTTAAGGCATCAGTTCTTCAGAAAAATGACTGACATGCACCTGGAAGCACAAAGGTGTTCTGAGCCTTTTCAGGCAGTTTGTTATTGTTGTAGCAGGCAGTGAGGCATTAGCAGCATTATGATGTAATGCTGTAATGGCATCTGAAATCAGAAGATTTGCAGGGCTTAAATGACAGCTCTCTGCAGAACAGGACAAATAAAATGATATGAGAGACAACTGTAACTTTAGATTCTAGTATTTTAATTCATTTCAAATCCTTCTCCGCTTCTTCCCATGCTCCCCCCTGTGGGGAGCATGTTGGTTTTTGTTGGCAAAAACCAACAACCACACCCCAACAAAAAAACCAACCAAAAAACCCCAACCAACCAACCCCAACCCTCAAAGCTGTCTGTTTCTAGGTCCTACTCTGGGACTTACGTATGTTGTTTCTGACTTAGCAGAGCTTCTTAACGGAAGAGACTATTTTAGAGAGATAGGAAAACAAGCACATTTTGAGTTTGTCTTTTAGCCTGGCAGAATAAGCCATTTATTGAACTGATATCCAAGGCTCTATTCTTAGGGATGTGGATCTCTTCTATCTGAATGCTGACTGCTAAAATTTACAGGAAGTGCACTAGTAAAGTATATAATGCAGTACAATTCCTTCTTACTTCTGGGGCATCTGAGGTAAATAATTCTCAGTATAACCTTACAGATTAACACTAACTATTATGAGGAAAAGGAATGAAACCTTGCAGCTATCTCATTTGCCTGTCCCAGTGCAGGGAGTGCACTTTCATGTCCGTTAACCATGAAGACTTTTGCTGTTTTTATGAAGGGGAGGCTGTCAGGTCTAGCGTGGGGTTAAGCCCTGTGGTTCACCTGCAGACGTGCTGCTTTCAGCTCATGTAACACAGATGCTTTTGTATAACACAAGACATTGTCTCATCTTTGCTGGTTAAACTCATCTTTAGAGCTAGTTCATCATATAAAAGGAATTAAGAAGGTCACTAATTATTTTCGTACTTATATTGATTTTCATAGATGTGATGAAGTAAAAATGTTGTTAGCTTGCTTGGCTTTTATCAGACTTTCAGTTCATAACTTGAGAAATGCATTTTTGAACTGTTTCCCTTCCAGAGGTTACGAACTGAAAATAGACTCCTAAAGCAGCGCATTGAAACACTAGAAAAAGTGAGTATGTTGGGGATTAGATTTAATCTGTGTTAATTTATGCTTAAATTTATGGAAATTTTATTATATGAAATGAGAATCTCAGAATTATAGGTTATTGTTTTCCTTCTAAACTATGGTGTTTACTAACAGTGCTTAGCCAAACAGCATGGCAATAATCAGGCAATTAGGGTCAGTAAGTGTGTAAGGTTGTAATGTCTGACTCATAGTGATTAAAAAATCAAACATTTTCACATACCCAACTTTGATTGTACTGTTTTCTTTCTGAATTAGAAGCATCTGTTCAAAGTGGAGAAGACTGCATATAGTGGAGTGCTTGGGTGGAAAAGAGGTTTTTGTGAGAGACTCCTCAGTTCTGAAAATCTGAAGTTGTTGGGTGTTTTTATGTAGGAGCAAAATGACAGACCTACCAATGACCGGAGAGATGAGATGAAGGCAGATCACTTCATCACTAGTGAATACAGCAGTAGAGGGTGTTGTTGCAGCATTCACAGGAACACTGCCATTAATCTGCTCTGTGTAATTTTGAACTTCTGTGGCACTTTTGGATACATGGTGGAGAGAATATCTAAAGACTTATTTCTCATGGGTTTAGTCTGGAGTAGAGTTTTGTTAGGCTTCTTTGTAACTGGGTAAAACTTCATAAGTAAGCATGTTAACTGCTGTGGATACACTGCCAACATGCAGGCATTGTTCTCCAGTGGCCTCTCCTATGTCCTGGTATCATGCTTCCCGTGGCAGATTTCATCTGAGCTGCTCTGCTCTAGAATGAGAACATTCTTGTCCATCTTCACCACAAACAGTGGAATTGAGCACTCCTGTGAGTTGCAAACAATTGTGTTTCACAGGGAAGAAAATGGTGAAGTTTCAGTTTAGTGGCATAGTTGGAAGATGTCACACTTCAGATGTTAAATCTGTTATGATTTCTTGAAGAACAGTCCATCTATGTCAAATTCTAATTAATTGGTTTCTGAATTTAGTTTGGAAAATATGCATAAGGACACATTGTGAAAGTTGTGAACAAAAATACAATTTCATGAATATTTTTGTTTCTAATATTGAAGCATTGATAAAATGAATGGAAAAGAGCAGGCTGTCTTTAAGAAGCTTGAAACTGTAGTGAATCATTTCAATTTCCTTGGCAAATATATAATAGTAAGTATCTCTGTTTTATACTTAACTCGTAGGGGTTGGAAATTTTTTTTTTTTATTATGAAGTCCGTGATGAACTCCCAGATGCTAGTGCTTTTGCACATTCTGTATTTAGAATTTCAGAGTTCACTTTCAGAGTATCCCAGTCTGACTGGAATTAAAACATTGCAAAATGGGAAAATATTATCTATTAGTAAGAATTTCTGATGATCATTATCATCACAGCATTTGAGAAACAGATCATGAAGTGTGAACAAACACATTCAGTTCTACTGTTGGAAATTTATTTTAAAAATACTTTTTCCCTCATCCAAACTCATATGATTTAGTTGTGATTTTCTTAGTGTACCTTAACTTCTCAGTATTAGCTCTTATCAACTAGTTCGCACTTCAGTTTTACTAACAGTTCCAAGGACAAAGAAAGTCTGTGGATAGATGTGTTTGTAGAATGTGCAAAACATCGAGTGCTTTCAGGAGTGATAAAGTAGGAGTTAATTAAATGCAACTGCAGTGGGGTAGTGCTTTTCAGTGTGCAAAAAATGAAAATTTCTTTCTTGCAAAAGTTTGTCAAGGAAAGAGAATCTATAAACAGCTCGATGAGTTACTGCAAGAGTTCAGTAAAACAAAATATGAGCTGTCATAGTTGACATTTCCTACTTGTCTGTCAGTTTGCACCATTTAATGTTCCTGCTTCATCTTACTGGAAGCTGTTAGCTCTGCATGAGCACCTTGGTGCTTAGTGGAGTTTCCTTTGTGCTCAAATTATGCCTTTGTTTCATGTTGTGGGTGGACTGTAGTCTTGCATCTATCTACTAGATCATATCAGATAATGCATCAGTAACTCTTGTTAATTAGGGAAGCAAGCTGTTCAAAGAAAAATACCTACTCTCCTGTAGGTGAATTTTAAGTGTTACAGAAATTTGGCTTTGAAACCTTCTGTACCAAAGATGGATTGTGTTAAATCTGTTGCAGAAAAGGCTGCTTCCTGGGACTTTCAGGCTGAGTTGCCTTAATTTATATGAAGAGTTGTTAATTTTGCTAAAAGGTTTGCACAGAAAATGGGTAGAATTTGGGCATTTTCTTTCTTTTAGCTCTTGGTCTTTTTTGTCACTATTATCAGCCCCTTGTTTTTTGATTTTCCTTTTCCTTATTCCTATCTGAATTTTTCCTTTGTAGGAAAGTGCTTCCTTGGCAGATAGATTGATACAGGTATAGTCTTTTAGTCTTTTACTGTATGACTCTCTTCCTACTCTTAAACTCCAACTGCTTTAATGCATGCATATTTGCATGCTATATCCTATCCCTGCTTTGCTGATTTGGAATAAATATAGAGCTAACATCTTGCTAGAAACTTGTTTAATTTTGTTTACTAAAAATATATAAACCCAATACCTGCACGTTATAGTAATTTTCCTAACCTAATGTGATTTTTCTGGTACAAATTCCTATGACAAATGGATTCTATGACACTGTATTAACACTGAAATTGAATATTGTGAACTTCAATCTGTGCATGTACTACTGAGTAATAATGCATGAAAGGAATTTTATTGAATGCAAGTACCAAACCGTGCTTGCTAAATGGATGCTGAACTTTGTACTAAAGTACTAAAGCAGCTGTTCAGTACTACCTTGTCCTAAAATTTCTACCAATTGTATCTGTGCTGTTCGCAAAACCAATCTGATGAAATAAGCAGCTAAACATCACAAAGGCAGTCTTTCTTGGATTTGTCATTAAGTGCTTAAAAAAATAAATTATGTCCTAAGGGACAAGTGACAAGGGCCCAGGAGGCTGAGGAAAACTACCTCATAAAACGGGAGCTGGCCACCATCAAACAGCAGAGTGATGAGGCCATTACTAAACTGGAGCAAGCTGAGAATACCATCAGGGAGCTCCAACAACAGCAGCAATGGGTAAGGAGCCTGGCAGCACATCATCTCATCTTTTTCACTCACTTGTGTTTATTTTTCCTCATCATGACATGGTCTCTGTGCTGTCCTTGTAAATCCTTGTTCATTGTGATTTGCATTCTTAAAATTATACAAATTAGACTAAACGAAGTTTTGGTCTGTTCTTACTGATAGGTGAGATCCATAACCCTGGATAGATGTAAGTTTATCAGTTTATAAAAAAACCCCAACATACCCACAATGAAACACACCAATCAAAAAACTCAACAACAAAAACCACCCAACCCAACCCCCCCCGCATACCACCAAAGAAATACTAACAAAACCACACACATACAGCCTTTGGTAGCTCTTCATGCTAAGAATCTACCCATTGCAAGTTGTGTCACTCTGAATACTCAAATCTGGGAGTTGGTTTACAATGCCTTTACATAGTGTATCTTCTAAGTCAGTTTATTTCATGTTAGCGTTTCTTCTGTGTATCTATATTTGGGTTTTTCCTAGTATGCTAAAATTTACTGCTTACTGAAGTGGAAGGATGTTGTCCCTGAGTTTGGAACTACAGGACTTGATTAAAAAATGTGGGTTTATGTGGATGTGAAGCAGGAAAATAATTTATATATAGTATAGTACTGTGTTTGTGTTACTCTGTGTTTTAGGTAGTAAAATGTGCACGACTTCAGACTATTGCTGTGAGACTGAAGTTACTTCCTCTAAGCCACTTAAAGTGCCCAGTGTCTTCTCCTGGGGCGTGGGGGAAGCCACTTCAGCATCTTCACTTGCTGAATAAACTCTGCACTACTAGTGCTGATGTGAATATCCTCATACTGTTGAAAGTGGTATCTAAGTACTTGTCTGGAGTCTTGGGCATTTCAGGTGTATGAAATACCACTTTTTAAAACTACAACATACTGCAGCTGCTTACCAGGCCCCATTAAGTCAGTAGGGCAGTTGGTTTTATACATCTTCCACCAAAGCTCTAGAAATACTTGTATCTCATCTTGGAAGGTAAAGATGAGATTTACTGTTAGACTGAAAGGAAATCATAACTTAGACTAGTTCTAGAGTGTTGTCTTTATTATGTCTTTTTAATGCATTTCAGCGTAAAAAAGGTATGCTAGAATAATTGCAAGGAGTGACTGATGAGCTACTACTGATGAGCTGTCATGTGAAATGCTGCTGTTTATATAACATGAGCAATTTCTTTAGGAGGAAAACAGCACCATGAAGAAATAACAGTTAGGAAGATGGGGATGGTCTTGTGGTGCTTTCCAACATTTTAGATATATTGTAATCTTTCAAGTGAAATGCAGTGGGAAATGATAGACTTCTAGTTATCTAGCAATTTATTGTCTGATTGCAATAGTACACATGCCCTTAGAATGTGTTTTTTGGAGGCATCCACATTAATGACCTGTATGTAGTTAAAACTTATTAGAAGAGACTAAGGTACTCTATTTATTTATTAGTTAATTGACAGGTAGTGTCTTTAAAAGCTAATGCCTTTAATTATGCTGGGAACTTACTGAAGAACAATGATGGGGAGGCCTGAGAGATTGGCTGGGCATGGGAACTGATCCTAAGCAGAACTGTAAATAGCTGTGGATTGCAAAATTGGCTGGATTGGAGCTGTAAGGGCAGAAGACTGGACAGGTACTGAGAGAATGGAGAGTAAGTAAAATACAAGAATGAGCAGTTAAATTAAGAGCCACGCTTCCTACTTTGCATGCTTGCAGCGTTGTTTTCCTCCACTTAAACGTGAACATGACTATAGGAAATAGTCTGACTATGTATGTGGAACTGAGACTGTAAATACATGTGGTTATGGACAGATTTGTGCCTGGTAGCTGGCTAATTCTGAAGTGTAAGGAGTAGTGCTGTGGTTTTGAGAACCATCGGAATTAGACAACGTGGGGAAAGTGCAAAAATGGCTTCAGTTAGGAGATCGCTATGGGCTACTGCATCGGTAACATTAGTACTTGAACAGGCTTTTAACTTTGTTTCCAAGCGTGGAAATGGGAACGACACAAATGTAAGCAGTTGCGTCTGTTTAGGGCTCCACCTGGTGGGAATGCATTGGTTTATTTGGAATTTTGGCATTTTACTTTACACTGGTAAATTTTTTACCACGTGCTAGTGCCAGTAGCTTTGTTCTTGGCAATATCCTTTTCAGTATTGTCTTGCGAATATCTGCTTTAATGTTTTTCTCCCCAATTATTTCAGCTTTCTTTATGAATAGCAAAAATGATAGCACTGTAAACTTTTAAGTGGCTGGATAGTTTATCTGTGCTTATTTAAAGATACAGCATCTATCCTATGTATTTTATAATCTACGTATTTTCCAGTCTTGAATATTCTGTTTCAGCATGACAGAAATGGTAATGTTTGGGTATGAATTTCTGAATAGGAATGTATGAAAAGAACTGCCTAAGGATACTTTCAACTAACATCGTGGGATTAAAAAAACTCAACAAAACGCGTTTTTGTTGGTAGCAAAAATATCACCTAACCGTAGTATTTCTAAGAAGGTTAACATGTCCTTTGTAAAAAGGTTATGTGTTTGTATTTATATATTAATATTATTGAGGTTTATGCAATCTGCTTAAGGAGATTCGATAGCACAGGTTGGATCATTCAAGGGTAAGTATTGAAGGTGCTTACTGGATGTTTGTGTCTATGAAGAAATTCTCCACTGCAGCACTTCTGAATACAGAGATGGGTAGAAGAGGAGTATTTTGACTGAAGTCCATCACCAGAAGCCCAAATTACACACAAGTTTATTTCTTCCTGTGCTGAAGTATTTATAGGGAGTTTTTAGATGAACCAGAATGACTTCATAATGAAGTGTGAAGTCTACTCAGAGGTTATCATTGTACTATTGGACGGTACTAATCTGTCTTTGGCTTGTCTAACCTTTAAATACAGAAACTTGCCAAAGACAAGTTGTGGTGGATAACCAAACAGTTAAGAGGAAGGTGGCTTCTTCCTCATACTGGTGGTAAATCAAGAACTGCATAGAGGAAGTTGTGCCTGACTTTTAACAGAATACAGTTTTCTTTTGAGGCATGCTAAGTATATATAATGGTATTTGAGGAGTTAGGGGCAGGGGTAATCAGCCTGTTGTAACTTAGTCCTGATAATTATGTGCTGAAGGTTTTATTCTCTGTTCTTTTCCCCTTTTTGTTTCTAAATAAAAAAGGTAGCTTCTGCTGGATGTAAACACCTCCAGAATGCAAATCTTGTCTTTCCCAGTGATACCTTAATTGTCAATGATTACCCAGTTCATCAGTCTGAATGCTTTAAAACTGAATCTGAGAAATGAGAGGCAGATCAAGCTGAAATTGGTTCACATCTTATTTTTAAATAGTCTCTTCAACTGTGTTATGTGAAGATAGAATTTTAATTGACTAAGCATTCAGATGGAAGCATATGCACTTTGTAAGGTAATTTATAGCCATGTATTTGGTTATTGTTACAGCAACTTCATAGTTGTTTTTCAGGAACTCAAGCTACAATGGCTGATAATTATTAAAAGCATAGTAGTTGATTTAGGGAATATATGCTTGTAAATGAGTGTTGCAGCCTTATGGAAGGCTTCACTGTACTTTGCAGTATACTCTTCTAATACTGTGTTCTGATTTGCAACCAAAATGGAGAAAATAAAAATATTGTATTCAGTGTTAGTGCTTAAATGTATAAGCAAAGTTAGCTGAGCAAAGTTAGCTGCTGAACAATCTGTTAATTGCTCTTCAGTATAGTGTGCTGGAGGAACATTCTGTAATTACATCTATCATCAGCCAAAATAATATTAGGAATGGTCGTGTTTAAGAAAAATTGGGGGAAAATAAATCCAGTTGTGTGAAACTAAGCAAGGACTTGTTTCTTTCAGAATTAAATGGCTGTAGAGCTGCAATTTTAGTGCTTTATGTTGCATTTGTCTTTTCAACATAGTCAACAAAGTGCTACGGTGATTAAAATGTTTGGCAGAATCTGGAACAAAAAAGGTAGAGTCCATCTAAGTTGTCGTGTGTATCATGTGATGAACTTGTACAAGCAGCCAGGGAATGTGAAAGAGCTGTTGCCTCTTTTCTGTGTCTGCATGTTGTTACCTATGGTACTTGTGTTCCTACATCATGTGAAGCAATCGTAGAAATGAATCAGCATTGCCCACCCATCCTTTTCTTGCACTCAGATCAGGTCTGCCTCCACTGCTTGCTGAGGCAAAGACACTGCGTGGGTTGAAAATAATACGAATTAAATTAGTAATGTGTAAGGGCAAATTAATACTAATGTACAAGGATCATAATATATATGTGTTCCCTGTGTGTTCAGCTGCACAGTTAAGCAGGCAGAGCACTTAAGTGGATGGTCTTGATGACACTAAAAACTGCCTGAGCTCTGCTTGCTTTTCAGTGCTTTGTATACATCCCTCCATCACAGCTTCCTGAAGGCACATTTATACAAGAAATATAATACATTGTAACACTAAGGTTAGCGTAGATTCTGAATTTGGATTGTACTGTAAGTCATGACAAAAGGCTTCCTTGGCATGCAGAAGTATAAACATAAATGAAAAAATAATTTCCCTGACCATGTAGTTACATGTAAATCCTTGGTTTGTCCTGTTCGCCTTTGGTTTGTGCACTGAAGGTCAGGGAATGCCACACCATAACAGAAGCATGCGGAACTGAAGGCTCTTCATTTTGTCTCTGTTTTTAGATGTAGAAAACTAAATTTTTTGATGCAAACATAAAGAAAACAGTTGTATCTTTAGTATAATGAATAATCTGTGGATTTTACTGTTGAATTTTTAATTAATTAAAACTTAATCTATTAATCCAAGTATAGTATTTATATTTCACAATGTAGTTAATGACACCAAAAATGTATTGAATTATTTTCCTCTAAATTTAATTTTCAGGGTAACGATGTAAGCACAGTAACTAGACAGCTATGCTTTGAGGATGTCAACACCCCCTTTTTTCCTAAATCAGAAATTAAAATACCGATTTCAATTTTCAAATACAGAATGCCTATCAGGCAAGTCTGACAATCTGTCAAACTGCTAAGTCATTTTAAAGTGACCCAAGAAGAAATAAAATGTGTTTTTTAAACTATTGACTAGGGGGGAAAAAAGTTAAGTGAGGCTTTTGAATATAAATGCTTTGGTTGGATGTGTCTGAATCTCAGAAGGAATATGTATGTGGTGAGCAAATGATAGCCAAGGGTTGGAGTGAAGAAATGGGCAAACCAAAGTCATTGTACATTGAAGCCACACATGACTTCATTTTAAATCCAGAATTACAGAAGGATTCTGTCGAATCACAGTTTGAGTAGAAATTGGGAGATACTTGTATTAACCTTGTAATTAGCTAGTGTTCTGTAGTATCTTTTTCTGCATATCACAGATCCTTTGAGAATCTTTCAGTTTGGTTAACAATGAGACAAAAGTGTGAGTTGTTGCTTGTCAGTATTAACAGGCTGGGTGGGGGTGCAGTTGTTTGAGGCAGAGCACTAGGGATATTTTTGGTGGCAGTCTGGATGGACATATTAATAGACTTGCATAAGGTAAGCACTTAAGGTAGTCTTCCTGATCTTACACAGCTGAAGGTACTTTTCACACCAGGTCTGGTATATAAAACCCCTTTCAAACCATCTGTGCTTCATACTAAACATGTTTCTGCAAACTTTGTAGCATAAATGCAGTTCACGATACAGTGAAGACTTTGTGCTACAGCTGGAAAAAGAGCTGGTCCAAGCCAGGCTGAGTGAAGCAGAATCGCAATGTGCCCTGAAGGAGATGCAAGATAAAGTTCTAGAGATGGAAAAGGTAAATTAAACCAGGACCCTCTGTACAGAACAGCACTACAAACAGAATACAGGTCCCTGTAATTCTTTGCATAACTGTGCTCTAGAACTTTCTCTTCTATGCTTTCATGATTACAAGATGCTTTTCAAACCTGTAAGAACAACAGCAATAAAACTAAGATATGTTTGCACTGGCAAAGGTTTGTGAAGAACAAACAAACCCCTTTTCTCTTGTTCCTGAAGCCTACTGTAGTGGAAAACTTGGATTCTGATGAAGTCTTTACAGGAAACATCAATTGTTTCAGAATGATATCCTGCAACAAGAGCAGGGGGCTTAGAGTGAGCACTGAGGTGATGTGAAACTAAAAAGTTTGGGAAAGGAGGAGGAAAGGGTACAATATAACCATTCCCAGGTCTTCAGCATCTTCTACTTTGTCCCATTATGGGCAGGGAAGGAATCTCTCCACCATTAATTATCAAAATCTCTGCTGCTTTTTGGGTGCTGTGGTAGCTTGTAACTTCCTGATGCCAGAGCTCAAGCTGTACTCAAAACAACTGTCAAGCATTTACCTTTCTTTGAAGTAAAACTTAACTGCAAGATAAAATAGCAAAATGAAAAAAGGAAAAAAAAAAACAAACCAATAAGTTGACCTGATATAAAGCATACTTTTCAGATCTTATTGTATTGGCCTTGGGAATAGTTTCCTTAGGAAATTTTAAAGGGCTATATACCCAGGTTTTGGCCAGAACTTAGTTACTGATTAAATTAACCCACTGGAGTCAAGATTTACTTTTTAAATTATCTGAGGGGCTTGATGAGAGCCTAGCAGGTTAGTAGTGTAGTTTTTACTGTCCTGACCATTGGTAAGAATTCAAGATATAAGGTATTTTTCAAAATTCAAAAGGAAACTACTTAACTCAGAGACAGCATGCACTGAAAACTTACCTGTGAAAAAAAACCTGGAGTAATAGGGTCAATTCCAGTGTACCAGACAAACTCAGATGTACAGTAGTACTTCAGTCTCTTATAATGAACTTAGGCACGTGAGAAAGTGGCTGAAGCTAATTCCCTCAAATTCCTGCAGTACAGCTCTTTATTGCTGTTATTGATGTATCATGTAATCTGGGGAACTTCTGCTGAATAAGCCGAGACTTGCATGGCTATACTGACAGTGATGTAAACATTCAGAAACACACCCTCTCACTTCCTATATTTGCCAGTACTCAGATCCCATGATTTTGAAACATGGAATGCTAATAAATGGCTGTTGTGCTGTGTTCTGTTAATGTTAATCATGTGCTTTACTCTCAACTCTCAAGAAAACCTGGAAACTGTCACAGTATTACATGTCTTCAAAAACACTGGATTTTGCTGATGAGAAATACAGTAGAAAGTGATGAAGCACAGTCAGGGATATTGTAATTGGACAGACTGTCCTTTTTCTTCCCCTCTGTTTTTTTCCCATATTTCCATTATTAGGATTTCATCTCTGTGTTGCTTTCCCCAGTGTTTTCCTGTGTTCTGTTTGGCTTTCTCTATCCTTTTTTCCTCATGTGTCTTTCATTTCTAAGACCTCTTCTTGACTTGTTTATATATATATATTAATGCATGGTTCCTTTGAAAAGGAGAACAGATATGTTGACAAAGGCTGGTGACCTACTTCCTAAAAAATAAATTTCCATTATTTTCTCTGTAAACCCAAGTAAAAGTTATAGCTTTAAAGTGTAGTTTTAGTTCCTTGTTTGCTTTACTGTTTATCGACTAGCTCAAAATCTTTCAGATTTCTCTCCATATTTTTGATGGGTTCAAATATTTTAAATATAATGTTTTGTTAGGGAGATACCATCTAGGGAAATCACAAAGTCAGAATACCTAAAACTATTACCTTTTCATTTTTTTCTGTAGTTGGCAGTTAGAAGTTATTTATACATACTATATCCAGAAACTTAGATTTTTTTAAAGGAATTTTATTTTGCAAAGGATGTGTACTTAAAGCTTGATTAGTAATAAGAGTTATTGTTCCATGTCTATATTCGGAGTGGGTTTCACTAAGCACAATTTTATTCAAATACATATTTAAGAGGATGGTCCTTGTTGCAGAGGAACAGCTCCCTCCCTGATGAGGAAAATGTTGCCAGACTACAAGAAGAATTAATTGCAGTAAAATTAAGAGAAGCAGAAGCTTCGATGGGTCTCAAAGAACTAAGGCAGCAAGTCAAAGATTTGGAAGAACACTGGCAGGTATGGGTAGCAATACACTTTTATTAATTTTTATTTTCAATGAATGGTGATAAACCAAGACTATGAAATTTTGAATTATAGATCAAGTAGAAACTAATGAGTGTGGACCAAACTGCTGAGATGAGAAAATCTTTAAATGCAGCTGCCACAAGAAACTTAACTTAGAAAGTATGTTAGAATTTGGTCCCTAGATGGCAGAGGGCCTGTGCTTCCAGCTAACCATTCTGGTAGGAGGGAAGTACCTGAGCAGTACTCTGACTTTGCTAAGTGGTAAGGTCTAGAAATAGGCAAAAGTCTCAGGATATACTTGCAATTCACTGACTTACCGTAGCTGGGAATGACTGTCTTCAGCTTTTTAACTGTTCTTAAAAACAGTAAGTTTCCATGGGTGTCTAGCTTTTAGGACCTACAGGAGAACTATAGCTATTTGTCCTCATATAACTCTGAGACCTTAAATGAAATAAGGGAACACCAGGAAAGATCTGGCATTATCAGCAAAAACATGCTGTTTTTCTAGCGTCATCTAGCTCGTACCACTGGAAGATGGAAAGATCCTCCCAAAAAAAATGCAGTGAATGAGCTACAGGATGAGCTGATGACAGTGCGGTTGAGAGAAGCAGAAACTCAAGCTGAACTGAAAGAGACCAAACAAAGAATGATGGAGATGGAAACACAGGTATGTTTTGAATGCTAGTACGTGTGAATTGAGCTGGATGCTACTGTTGGACTAGGATGGAAGAATCTAGTGCATACAATCCAGCTTACTTTAATGTCTCTTCTTTAGTCTTCTACGACTATGCTTTCCAAATTTCTTATTTGGATTAGTTGGTAAACTGTGTGTGAATGTAAATTTATTAAATTATATCTGATTTAACAAGAGAATGCTTAAGGTGTTTTAAATTTCACAAATCACAAATAGTAATTCTAATTGTTTAAATGGCAGTGTTTTGCTTTCTTCTGGTGAAACTGGTGATACTGGATTTTCTGCTGAGGTCATGAATCTGGTTACTAAGCTGTGGACTCAGCAGAGCAGTTTGTGTGTTGGTCAGGTGTTTTTAGCAGAAGCTTTGCCTTTTGTGTGCCAGAATAGAAATGCATGGATGACCCTTGCTGAGGTTTGTTCAGAAAAGACAATCATAACTTGACTGCCAAAATTCTTTTCGTATAACTAGGGAATAAGTTGTTAAGCAAAGAAATCTGAAATAAAAGTGCATTAAAGTGGTGAGTTCATATTATATTAGTGAACTTTCTTTCGAGTCAGTAGGCACAACATGCAGTTGATGAGAAGGATTTGTAAGAGACTTTTGAGAAATCCTCCCATGGAATATCTGCTAAATGTAACTGTTTTTTGAAAGAGACTTGTGCATCCAAAAGGCTAAACAAACAGTAGCTTTACTTGACAAGGTTCAACAATTCCAGACATAATGAGAGCACGTAAGGGTGTGCTATTGAAGAGAGATTAGCTAACTGCAAGGCACATGGTGGTTTATTTCTGACAGAGGCACTGTTTTTGCTATACCAACTGAATAAAGGTTTCCTTTTGCAGTAACTTTTAAAGTCTTCATTGAGGTGTCAATACTGTTGCACTACAGTTAAAGTGCTTTTATTTTGTTGTCTTTGCCTCATGTGTGTATTTTGGTCAGTAGGGGGCATAGGGATCCTGCTGTCTGGCTAATATGTCACAAGACCTTTTAGGTACTTCTCACTTCAGTGTTATGCATTGAGTCTGTATGTGTTTATGCTGTTTAGCTCTCAGCTGAGAGAAATGCACTGGTTCTCGTGTTATGTACTGGCCTGCACAGCTTCACATACAAATGGTGTGACTGGTACTATTGCACTGATCTCAATTAAGGTGCCACGTTGCTTTTAGGAATTCTTTGAACAGAGAAATGTGCACATAGTATTTCTGACATACCTGATGTTTCTTGGATGCATGCTGCAATTGGGATACAAGTTCACAAAATCTTTGCCTTACCTAAGCAAGAAATTGGGAAAAACAGATGTACAGGAGCTTTGCGATAGCATTCTTGTAATGAGTCATCTGTTATTAAGGAACAATTTGAATATCTTGATCATAAACAAAACGTCATGCAAACTCTTCTGATTGCACTTAGAAAACTCTGAATGCTTTTTCATCAAAAGTTTTTTATGGTAAATAATCTATAAGTCTGTTTTGTCAGACTTCGGAGAGTTAAATTAATATCAAAAATCTTTCCTTAACATGCATTTTCATTCCCTTTTTTTGTCATAAATTTCAGAATCAGATCAATAGTAATCATTTACGAAGGGCAGAGCAAGAGGTTACCAACCTACAGGAGAAGGTGCAGTATCTTTCTGCACAGAACAAAGGACTTCTGGCTCAGTTGAATGAAGCAAAACGTAGACAAGCAGAGATTGAATGCAAGGTAAACAACATCCTGAAAAGACTACTTGGGTGCTAATATACATGTGCATTTTAGTCTTGTCTGCTGTTGTTGGACAGAATTGTGTCTTAACTGAGAAGCGTAAATCATAAAACCAAAATTCTTTTTACTGATTTTGGCAACATCATCTTGAATTTACCATCTCACAAAAATCACTTGAGGTTTTGACAGAGCTGCTTCTTTGTGGTCCCACAAAGATAAACTTTAAAGTGTGGTTCTACTCAGAAAAGTGTCTGTGTGTAATATAAAAAGACACTCCGAGACAACAGACACTTTTAGGTTTTCATTTTCTTGCTGTCTTGCCAATTCCATTTGTTTCTAGTTGAACCTGAATCAAAAGTGCAATGAAGAGGTAACTTCTACTGACTACTCAAACTCCATCACAAACTTTTGGGTAAAAAGCCACTGAATCTTAATTAGAAGAAATTGCTTCTACTGACTGTCTTGTTTGCCATAATCATTGGGTTCCTAAGTGCTATTTTTTTAATGCTGAGATTATTCTTACTGATTTTTTTTTTTTTTTTTTATATTCTCAATCTTGGTGATATGTCTTTTTCATATAACCTGTAACTTCTTTGTTTGATACTGAAGGTGCTCATTAAGCATTAAGAGATTGAGGATTAGAGTGTGTAGTCAATATTCTGGTTTTATGTTGACTATAAGAGAATAATATGTTTTTAACCTGACTAATGTGTTTGTATACATAACTATTCTCACTAGGATAATTTGCTTGTAAAGCTCTGTTCTAACATGGGCTAGAGAAAAGTGTGACAGTAATAGACAGAGCACCAGAGAATCTTGAGAGATTCTCTGAAAGTAGCAGTGGTCAATACCCAGTGAAGCAGTAGTACTGACATACACTGACATTAGATCCTGAAACTTGGTTTGTAGTTGATAGAAAAAAGATTACAATTTACACTGTAAGATGTTTTATGAGTTGATGTTTCTGATATAAAATGAAATATTGCCAATTTGATGCATATCCATTACCTAGATTTCTACTGCTTAACTGTGAGCTAGACAGTGACTTCTTGGGAAGAGACTTAGTAGAATACCATGTAGACTCCTGTACTGCTTAAATGCACAAGTGTTTTTGCTAAGTGTTTTTCAGATAATGTCATGGAGCAATACAGACAAATATTAAGTTTTTGTAGCACTAAATATATTTAAAAGTTCCACCTCCCATCTCTTTAAATCTAGCAAGTTTGTTATTCTCAATTCCATTAGTAACTGATGTTCGATTATTTTTTTTTTCTTCCTGTTGTTTCAAGTCATCTGAAATCACACTCTAGTTCTATTTTTGTCAGTACATCTTGGCTAGGTAGCAATATTTCTACTTCAAGAGGTGTCTCAGAAAAATATATATTTGGATTTTCAACTCCGCCCCCAGTTGTTCTATGCATAAAGGATTGCTACGTTATTTCAGTAGCTTGTATTTTTATTTTAAAAAATAACTTGAAATGCATAAGCAGAAGTTAACATTTTTGTAGCAAGTTGCATCTCATACCACCTGTAGGACAACTCTTTTCTGTCACTGGTGTGTACTGTTACATTTTTCCCTTTTGATCTGAGTACTGCTTCTACAGCAAGGACTCAATTTCAGATTGTTTCTTGAAACTCATCACTGATCTTTCTAATCAGTTTTGCTAAAGAATTTACAACATAAGATTTGTGCCCCCACCCCAGTCTTGTCCTTCCTACCACCATATCAAGGTCTGTGGTAATTGAGAACATGCTCTGTTTCAGAGATAAAGCATAAAGTGCCATCTAGAGCAACACTATTGACTCATCTCAGATACCAGAGTCTGTCCTTCAGCTTTCAGTTAAATACATGCAATCCTGTGGACTTGTCGGTTTGGCTTCATTTGAGTAATCATGCAACAGAATTTAGCAAGAATGGCTGAAATTTGGCTAGCACATGATGGATTTCTCTGAAATGGACTCCACTGATTACAAATACTGTTAACTGGATCCTATAGATGATATACCTCTGTTACAGTAATCTTTAAAAAAACCCCAAACAAATAGCATGTTTGCAAGTGGTTACTGAAATAAGCTTTGATATGTTCAATTTGGTCTCAACTATACTGTCTAACAAAGGAGGCTTGAGTACTGTTAGTTTGAAGCATACATTAAAATAAGTGAAATACTGGAACTGATTTACAGTAACTACAGTTTAGTTACACCAGTCTGCCATAAAAGCAGGTGTACCTGAGCCTAGTCTGTCTCTTCCCCAGTTATTTGCTCTCCAGCTGACAGTACTGCTCGCTCACTATCTAGCACTGCTTTCTCTCTGTGGCTGAAATATAGACTGCTGAAAATATAATAATAGTTGTTTTGTGCTCTGAAGTCTTGAGGACTTGCCTCATAAAACAGGAATAAGGGTGTTTCATGTTTCCTTCTCTCTTGTCCAAACTGCCTATCATTTATAGACACTTACAGGTTAAACTTACAGTGGGAGGCTGATTGTAGGTTATGTGCATTGGTATTTTATTCCAAGCTTTGTTGTGTACTGTGATTTAAGACAGCTGGACTAAATGAGGTTTAGAATATATTTACTTTTGTGGGGTTTTTTTTAATTTATTTTTTTAGACAAAGGAAATGATAAGTAACTCTTTTGTAGCTTTGCTGTTTCTTTATACATAAGGTCAAAGGTTGAAGCTGGTTTTTTATTATGTTGATGCTTTTTCTGAATTTACAATATAACATTTCTGGAAAACAAGACAGCTGTTTTCTGGACCTGAAAACTGATAACAGCAAGTTTTCAAAACTGCACAGATTTTTTTTTTAGATTATTATAGTTTAGAATTTATATTAGATGATTACACAATTCTAGGGGTTAAAATTAAATTTGAGTTCTTTGGAATAGTAGTAGTTCACACAGTAGTGCAGAGCAGTTTTCTCTTCTTATAATTTTGGGTAAAAGCAGTGCACAGTTGTTAATAGCTGAAACTGATATTTGTTCGCTTGCATCTCTGCCTTCTTTCAGAGCAAAGAAGAAGTGATGGCAGTTCGGCTCCGTGAGGCAGACCGCATTGCAGCTGTGGCAGAACTCCAGCAGCATATTGCTGAATTAGAAATCCAGGTAACAAGTGATGGCACTAAACATGTAACTTGATACTGATTAGTTTCTGTACTTCATGGGTTTTTTCTGCCTCCACTTTCTTTCCTCATTAACCTACTGAGAACACAAGGCACTGCTTTGCCAAGTAGGATAATGCTATATTGTTGAATTCCTGTTCAAGCAAAGCCTTAAATCTACCTTATGTGCATACTTGTGAGCTGTTAATAATTGCTTCTGTACTAGTACTGTGCTAATGGCAACACTCTTTTTAACTCTGACTTCTGTTTTGGTTTTTATTCTTGTAATTGGTACTTTTTACCAATGAACAGATGAGGCTGAAAACATCCTCTGTCCAAAAAAAGATGCTAACATTTTGATTTCAGCAAGCATTTTTTTCCTATGCTTACTCTTCTGCTATGACCAGTATGGGAGGATTTATTGTAGAACTCTTACTCCCTTTAAGTAAATCTTGAAACCAGAAATGTTTACTGCTACCACATCACTGTAGGATCTGAAGATGCATCCTTTGGCCTCTCTGTTGTTCCTCACACTTTCAGTTCCTTTTGGCGCTTTACTTGTCTCATGAACTTGAACAGAAATTACTGTTCCTTGTGTTTTCTTGGCTTGGAGAAATCATGATGTCTTACTGTAGTCTGGCCTTTCTATACTCATATACTGTTGTCTTTTCTGAATTCTGCTGCAAAGGTTTTCTTGATTATCATTCCCAGGTTACTAACTAGATACTCTCTAGTTTATCTTTTTAAAAAACTGGTATTGCTATTGTCTTTTCTTCCTCTGAAATCTTTCCTTTGAGGTGATGATTTCTCAGCTAGTTGTAGCTTTTTCATCTCTTTGTATTTGGAATGTACAAAAAAATTTCATTGAGCTTGCATAAAGAATTTTCATTGTATTTCCTTTAGTGCAGCAGGCATGAAATTTATTAAAAGAAAAAGCAATCATTTCTTTTAATCATATAATGCTTAGATAATGCTGTGATCAATACACTAGAAATACAGTAAACATTGCATATGAATCATTTATCATTTTTTAAGATAACAAAAGTGTAGCTGAATTTAGGTCAATCTTCTACTCATGTTAACGTTTTACTAAAAAAAAGGGGGGCGAAGTTTAGAGGTTACTTCAAACAATGTGATTTTGTAGGTAAGAAGTCAGTACTCATTTTGCATTATTTTTACTGTAGCACAGACTTCAAATGGCATCCTGCTTCCCTTATTTGACTGATACAGGTCTCCCAAAAAGTAGTCGAAATCTTATCAAATGGTGAATCCCCTAATGATCAGGGTTTTTTTCCTGGTAGCTGTCACACAATTAGAATTGTATTCATTTTGTAATGTCAATACATCTAACTGGGTTTTCTGTTGTTTGACTGATCAAACCATCCATGCTCCATCATTTAACAGCTCTCTCCTATTCCCTTTCCATATTTTGCTTAAGTTACAGATATAAGAATTGCATGCAGATTTTTATAATACCTGTTTCATGACTCTGGCTAATACGTTCAAAGATTACACTGCCCCTCTTTTGTTGTGATATTGCGCTGTCTCGTGTTCAGTTGGTTGTCCACATCACCTCTCCTTCCTCTTCACAAGAACTACTTTGTAGGATGCAACTTTTAGTTATGTTTTTATTATTCTAGGTTTTATGTTTCCTACTAAAGTGCATTTCAAGTCTCAATCTTAGTAAAATTCTGGATTTTCTTCACAAATGACAGTGGCTGTGCTTTCTTTGTACACAGTGTGGAGTATGAAATCATTCTGTGGCTGGAGTTCATGTTTCTCATTTGATGACTTTGCCCTGTTAGGTTTTTGGTGAACTACTGATCTCAAACTTAAACATGGAAGAAAACTTCAGTTGTCAAACACAGATTTTGAGTGTGAACCTTATCATATTTAAAACAAAAGAGATTTAGTAGAATTAAGTTCCTCTAATGTTAATGTATTTATTTCTGACACTGTAGACATGACCTGAAAGCCTTTTATTGGACTGTGATAGGTGGTGGTTTTTTTTTTAGGAGTCTAAGCAGATACTTTTGACCAGTGTGTTTTGCCAGCAAATATGAAACTTATGATCAAAACTTCCTTTTTGGGTACTCATGCTCAAAAGCCTTTGAAACACCTGCACCAAAAAAATAGTAATGGAGTTGGAAAGCCTGAACTCCCAAAGCTTGTAAACTGTAAACCATGCAATTGATAATAGAGCTTAAACAAATGCCACTTTTTAAGGAAATTGAAAATCTAAATAACTTCTTCCTCATTGGAGAAAAAGCTGCCTCTCATTATCTTCTGTTCAGCTTGTGGCTGCACTTGCTGTGACCCGATGTGAGGAGCAGAGAGCCTTTTAATCAGGACTTGCCTTAATGACTTGAAATGCAATATTTAATACCATAAATACACGTAGCCAGTCTTGGAGTGTAGGTGTCTGTCTTAAAGTAGAGATGCACAGAGCACCACAAATAGATCTGCTTGCTGTGTTATTTCAAAGCTGATAAAAATGAAGGGAGGAAGTTAACCTACCTCATAACCTTCCCTTTTTTTGAGCAGGGTGGAGCTTTTCTAAGAAGCTCTAGGGATTCATTGCCAGGTCCACATGGTCCATAGCAATGCTTAACCTGAATTGTGTGGTTTTCTTTTAAATGTTCATGTAGGTGTAGGTGCAAGACACTGGTGTTAAATTTGTAACAGAGTATCACTACTCCCACATAAGAACTGATCTGACGTTACACACACACAAATGCTAGATTTAAATCACAGTTTATGGGTCACTCTTAGTTTTGGTTAGTAATAACGGCAGAGAAGGAGAAGGAGAGAGAACTCTTATCATTCAACAGTAGATGTAATTCTGCAGCAAGTTGTCAGTTTATTATGATACTAGGAAGTTATTTTTTAATATATTCTAGATGCCATCTTATCTTGGCTGAGCATTCAGTTAAGGAGCTTTTAAATTTCTGTGTAAGTATATTGACGTGCAATGAGTTGTCCAATACATGACAGATATCCTTAGTCATTCCTTAGCAAAAATAACACAGAATTGAAGTATAACTGAAGTTTAACTTAGATGCACATACCTGTTCACACTTTGTAACTAAATGGCTCGTCCTGGTCAGGTTGCATGCACTCTGATTGTGGTTGTCCCACCCTTTTGTAAGGTGTAAAGACCCAGGGCTAAGGAATGGACATTGTCTCCTTCTATGTCTATTGTCAATTAGCAAAGATTCAGGTTTGCTTCCTCAGGAAGCTAGTCTAGTTTTCAGCTGAACTGGTCTGATAGCTTCAAACTGCAGCAAGCAAATATTTCTGGCCTATTAATTAGCAAGTGATCCTTCTGATCACTTATGGGCAGTCCTGTTGGTCCGTCAGTGGTGTTTTGGGTTTGGTTGGTTGGTTTTTTAAAGGCTTTCCCTGCAGTAGTTGAAAGAAGAACAGAAAAATTCAGGCAGGGTTAAATCAGTTGCAAGCTAGTGTCACTCAGCTGGTTTAGGGTACGGAGCATTAGGCCAGTGGAAGTGTAGGCGGGCCAAGGAAGCAGAGTGGGGCAGCTTAATCCCTCTCCCTCCATTTCTGTTCAGGCTGGTAACTTGTACTAGCCTCTTAAAATTATCCATGGCTGGTTTGGGTTGGCAGGTATAGAGCATACTTGTAATATAAAAAACTGGTGTTACATCTGAGTAATCTTAAAGCAAAAAATATCCATAAGAACTCATTCTTTCTTTTGTTAGGTTGGTCTGGACAGGCGGTAACATCACTTCCTCCTGCTGTGTTTCCTGGCAGATTCAGAGAATTTTGTCACATTTACCCTATCTCTAACCATGTCAAAGCTGCTTTGAGAGCAACTGTAAAGGAAATCCATGATTGTGCTAGTAATCTCCCCCACAGTTTAAACTTTTAGCACTATTTCGTTAGACTGAAGCCTTTCTATGACCTCTGTTTAATAACTTTTCCAAGTACTGACTGTTGAGTAAAGAAATTGTTTCCATCTTTTCAAATTACAGGAAACCTTTTTTTTGCTCTTATCAATAGTGGTGTGTGATGTTAGTGATGTGTTTTTGAAAGTATAGAATGAGTCACTGTAAAGTCACTGAAAGGACACTAGTTACCACATTTACCCTTCTGAATATACTTCATTTACATTTTTAATGCAGTATCTTTTGCCGCAGAGTAAGAATTTTAAAGTCTCCCCTGAAAAGAGGCTGAGACAAGGCGTTAACAAGTAAATATTTCTAAGTCAGAAAAAATCAAGGATGTTGGGGAAACATCCTATCTTCCAGCCATTTTTAGTAAAGATGGTACACTGTTATCTTAGGAACAGCAACTTTCCAGTGTGCCTGGAGTTCAACTGCCTATAAAACCATTTTTTTGTTTTTCTGTGTTTTTAAATTTACAGTTATTAAAGTGAAAACAATCCTAGATGTTTTCTTATGATTTAAAATGGCATATTTTCTCACTGATGTGTTTTTATTTTCCAACTCTGATGTGATAATTGAGTGTTTTATAAAACTTTGTCCTTTTGCTCCTCTTGGGATAAGACACCTGCAACTGAAATTTGATTACATTGATCTTCTGTGTCTTTCGTTGAGCAGCAAAAGCAGGCTTAAGTCCTCCAGTGTTTTTTGGGTGACTTCCAGTGATTTATTTATTTTTTGTCTAAACACTTTTTTTATCATGAGTACTAAACTTGATTTTGGGAGGGCATTATACAGTAATAGTTTTCAGTATTTTAAAATGGCATTCTTTGAAGCAGTCTGTCCCTGCACTCTTGTGTTGCCAGCTATACATGCTGGTCTGCTGATTGAGTCTGAAAGGTCTCCACATGTTTGGTAGTTCTCAGTAGGTATCAGGTGTTTGAGACTAACTGCTGCTTCTTTGGAAGATATTTTTCTCCTGGAAAGCCAGACAAAGGAGGATTCAAGTATGAGATGAAAACCATGATTCTCAGCTGATACTTTTTGGTGGGCAGAATTTTTCCTCATTCTAAGAAGGAAATTTTTGGAGTACAGATTTTTCTTCTCAGGAACTCTCAGTGTAACTCTTGTATGTACAGAAGTACAGTCACTAGTATTTCACAGCAGGATGAGAGAGGTGAGAGCTTCCAAAACTGTGAAGGGGCCTAAGTGAGTTCTGTTTTAGCAATGGGGTTTTACAATCTACAGAGCTCATTTCCTGCTTCGCTGCCCGTGCTGCTCCCACTATATACACAACCTCTGGGGCAGGGGATTGGATTGTGTTCTGCTGTGTACACTGTTAGAAGCACCTATCACCTGAGCAGAGGTGATACCTGGCTGACAGCGTGTTTGTTTTCATGATACGGGGTTTTCTCATGGTGGAGCTGGTCTGTTGGAAGAGACTGTAAGACTGGGAGGAGTTATTAATCCTCCAAAGCAGTGAAATTGAGATGAAGCATCTTTATTACAACATAACACCAACTGGCATTACTTTTCTAAAAACCTTTCTGGGAAGAGCAGATGGGCACTGCAGTGGTGCCAATATGCAGAAGCAGCACCCCAGTGGGTTGTGCATGTAGAGAGATTCGTTCACATATAACTGCAGGGTGTTTTAAACAAATTTCTAGATTCTAGAATTGGCTCTCTTTCATTATCTTGCAATTCTGTTAATACTCACACTTTGCTTATGACATGTTATCTGACTTTTTCTCTATATTTTAGTTTTAAATTTAAAATGGCTATTGTTTGCCTAGAGATCAGCTATTCTTAGTGTCATGACCTCTCCAAATACAACAGATTTTCTATAGTAGTGCTCCCCCTCAAAAAAAAACAACAAAAACCCAACAAACCAGCAACCCACATCCTATGTCTATAATTCTAGATTTTAAAACATAAAGCATGAAGAAATATTACTAATTGCTTATGCTATTTCCTTTTAAAAGGTGCGATGTTCATACCTTAAAGACTTCTAAATTTTCAGTGGAGTTGTTTTGAACCCATACAGTTGATTTGAGTGCTGTCCTCAAAAGTACAAAGCTGCTCAAGCACAGTAGTACAAAACTATTCAGGCATAGTATAAAAACAATGCAGAGTGAAATGTCCAGTTCCTACTAAAGTAAACGCTACAATAGGAAGCATTAAATGAAATTAAGTTGCATTAAAGCAATTTAATTTTTCTTATGTCAGTGGGACTGTCTAGTAACTAATGGTATCGCCTCACCTGGAGTACTGTGTGCAGTTCTGGGCCCCACTATTTCAGAAGGATGTGACGGTCCTTGAATGTGTCCAGACGAGGGCAATAAAGCTGGTGAAAGGGCTGTAAATAAAGCCCTGTGAGGAGTGGCTAAGGATGTTGGCCTTGTTTAGTTTGGAGAAAAGGGTGGCCATGGGTGGCCTCATTGCCCTATATAGCTTCCTGAGGCACTCTTATCCCTGGTATCCAGTGATAGGACACGTGGGAATGGTTCAAAGTTGCACTAGGAGAGTTCAGACTGGACATTAGGAAGCATTTCTTTACCAGAGAGTGGTCAAATGCTGGAACACGCTTCCTAGAGGTGGTTGATGCCCCAAGCCTGTCAGTGTTTGAGGCATGTGCACAATGCCCTTAAAAGGCTTTAACCAATTCAGCCCTGGATTGGTTGGGCAGTTGGATTAGATGGTCATTGTTAAGAATTATGTTAAGAGTTAAGAATTATGTAATATGGTGTTATCCAAGCTGAAGCTGCTCAAGCTTTGATTAAGCTACTCATGAAACATGAACATTAAATTATTTGTGCAGTTTCCATGTGTTGTTTGGAGCATGAGTGTCCTTGTGGTCTCTGGGGCTTTCACCATTCACAGTGACATACTAGCTGTGTTTTGTCACTATTCTATTGTCATCTAGAATTAAGATGTACAAGTGGGAATCTAACCTGCATGGGGGCAGAATATAGGGTTTGTTTTGCAGTTGTGGAGGTTTTCACGATCTCAAAATGCACATATACTGACCTTAAAAGATACCATACTCTCCTTAAAAGAGATTCTAGGATGATATTAAGATCACTTGATAAAAACAGTAAGAAATAAGTTTTTATGATAATCAGGAAGTAATAGATAATGTCATACAATGTAGGGTAATCTTGAGAAGCAAACCTAGAACTATAGAATTTTTCAGAAGAAGGTTTCTGTCTGAGTGAGAGATACTAACAGATAGTAGGGAAAGCTGTTAACACTGGGTTTGGTCACATTAAAAAGAACTGCCACGTTGAAGTTTTTCCTGACAACAATTTTTCTTTTCAAATTCTGTCAAGCCACCCTAATGAAAAAATACTGTTAAAGAATATTACTACTAAATTTAAGTTCCTCACATTAAAATTTGCCTTTGATTAACGAATGCTCATCAGAAGGTGGGAATTATTTGCATTAAGTTCAGGTTACTTTCTAACATGAAATGTCACTAGAAAGTGAAACAATTTGTCAGATCATGGTAATACTTTGTACTTGTATGGAAATGTATGTATTGATGAGAAATATTAATCTTTTCTCACAGTTTTAAAGAATGTTGGGTAACTTAATCATAATCTGACAGATAAAACTTTGAATTTTTTTTGTTCATCTAAAATATGTAAGTTTTCAGCTATCTATTTCTTATTTATTCTCTAAATTAGATGAATTTGGTAAACATTAAAATATATTTTAATGCTACAGTGTCTGGCCCCTACATGTTTTTTCAGTGGTTTGCTACTGCACCTGCATGAGTGCCTCTAGAAGGCAATGGCAGGATCAACTTAGTCTACTTTTCTTTTTTAAAATAAACTCTATCTTTTCTATTGCTCAGAGATGAACAGCAGCTGTGAAGAAGACTGATACCTTGCTCTTAATTTTTTCTATGTCATCCTTCCAATTTATCCACTGTAGACAGACTTGGTAGCTTTTAGAACATGAGCTTATTTAATTTGAAATATGTAATTTCTGTTGCAGCCAGTTAAAAGGATCAGCTTCTGATCTCTAGTGTTTTGAATGTTTCAAGAGGAAGTTACAGCATGACCTTTTTTAAAGCATGTTTGTAGAAAATGATATTGCAGGGTTCCGTTTTTTTTTTTTTTGTGCTAAATGCATTTTTGTGAATTGCCAGCTCTACAAAATCTGTAGTTCTGAAAGGAAAACTGAAACTTACTTGCCTTTCACTAAAAATGGGGATCTTGCAAGCCAGGTTTGTGCACAATATTCAGCTCCAGCTGACTGTATTAGAGTCAGTTCTTCCATGAGCAAATATACGTCAGATTATTTTGTAATATCTGCATTAACTTTACAGTGTTATTTCTGGAATAAAAAGTAACAATAAAATCACTTAAATATAATGAAAGTGTGTGATTCCCATATGGTATACACAAACAGCTTTCAGCTCTTTGTGCAGTGCCAAAACCAACCTGCTAAATGTTACTGCTTCTGCTGTTAGTTTATACTGACTTAACTTGGGAACACCTTTTTCATGTCCTCTTGTGCACCCAGTTTCAATGTAAGCTCAGCTGCTTATTACACTTCTGTTTTAAAAGGGCTATGACACCTATGTTCTATTTGTGCTAACACTTTGCTTTACTGCTGCTTTTTGATACTATAGTGTATAGTGACATAGTCATTCAGAGTAATATAAAGTAATTTTAACTATTTAGGACAGGAACTATTAATAATATTGATAATATTACGTGTGTGTGTGTGTGTGTGAATTGGGTTTACTAAAGCAAATATACAACCTCATGTACATAGGACATGAATTCCACCTGTGAAGCTGGTAATTCTTCATGCTCCTCCATAGAATCCTGCCTGTTAGTACTGAGAGAGTCAGCTTGGTCTGAGCCACTGTCACCTTTAGATACCTGCTGTAACTTCAACCAAATGAAAGTGCTCAATGGTGTCTGGGACTAGCTTCTGTTTGTGACAAAAATATGCAGACAGTTAAACTAAGATTTTTAATATAGTAGATCTTTGAATAATTTGAATATGATTCCTTTTTTTAACCAAAACAGAAAGAAGAAGGAAAAATTCAAGGGCAGCTTAATAAATCTGATTCTAACCAGTACATCAGAGAACTGAAAGATCAGATAGCTGAACTGCATCATGAGGTAAGTGATAAAATACTACAGTCTCTGATCACATGGACCTTTTGTCCTTTCACTTGTAGCAGGTTTTAGTTATTTAACACTTATTACATTTTCAGTACCTGATTTTACCCAAGTACATTATTTTAAATGAATGCAATAAAACTCTTATACGTGAATCTTTCCTTTACCCTGGGATGTAAAATAACAAAAAACTGCTTAGTTACATGATTTGATATTAAAGGAGATCAGCATTTATGTTCCACCTTGGTTTTTCTCCTTAATTTCATGAGTTGATGATGTTCGTGTTGCATTTACTGCATTTGGAGCTGTGTATATGAAAATAAGCCCCTTTATGCCTTTATTTGCTACAACTATTAAGGCTATTACAGTTAGAAACTAAACTGCATTTGTTTGAGTAGAAGAGTCCATGTGTAGATTTTCTGGTTCTTGCTCTTGCAAGGATGAATTTTATGTGGTACTATACTGAGATTGCTTAAAAAAAGAAAAGGATGCTTGCTTAATATCAGTTAACAGATTTGTAAGTTTTAAACTGCCAAAACCTTCAACCTATGAAATTTCTGCCTTCAAACTTCCTTACTCTAATAGTTGTAGTAACTTTCTGTTAGTTAAAAAGATCAGAAGGTCTTGAAACAGAGATGGCTTATGTAACTACCATCCTCACTGGCTCATTTCACTTCATCCTGCATTGTGAAGAAATGTCTTTACCTAACACTACACTGTGTGCAAAATGCCCAGTCATCTTTGCATTATAGTCTGCTTCTGTTTCAATAGCCTTCTAATACACAGCTCTGATAGTGTTGCTTAAAACCATAGTATCATAGAGCAATTCTGCTAATTGTTTGGTGCCTTTTTGCTTTTGTAAAATAAACACACACTTTCTTTAAGTGTAGATAGTGTTTTCATAACAATTTTAGTAGATTCAACCTTTTAGGATCAATCCCCTGAGAGCTGTAATACAGTTGAGGATCTCGGAATTCTGTCTATGCTATAGATTGCTATGCTGTAGATTGAGGATAGTCTCTAGGGCCGTCAGTCCAGCACCCTTTACCAATCATTAAGCTCACTTAAAAAACAGATTTAAAAATCAATAACCTGTCTTCTTCCGTTAAAGAACTCTAACTAGCTTGCTTTGTTCCTTATAAGAAAGTCACCTGCTGAATTCTCAGAAAGCCAGATATGTAGTGTATTTTTGCATTATGAACAAATAAGGCACTGTACTGGCTTTTTCTTCTGCTTGGTGTATGTTTAAAAGGTAAGAAACACTGCTGTGGGGGAAAGTGGAATTACTGTTGGAAAGCTGTTGCATAATTTTCTCAATACAATCATTTGTTATGTGCCTGGTGAGTAACTCAGTTGTCATGAAGGCAGACAATATTGTACATGTTTACTGTGTGTAAGTTAGTGTGAACAGGTTGGAATGAAGATAAGGTCCATTAGCTCACAGAACAATGATAATTCTTAGTAATACCAGTGATTCTTAAACAGTTCAGCCTAGACAAATCTTCATTAGCATTTCAATTTGACTGAAAGAAAATACCAGCTATGAAGAATAATGAATTTCAACAACAGCAGAGTTTGAGAAATTCCATGTAGAAGACCACTCCTCATCTAGATTTGTTTTTGTTGTGGCTTAATTTTTAATTTCCAAACTAGGTAAACACTACAGAAACAAAGTCATTCTAGGACACATAGAAACAGTAAGAAGAAATGGTCTGACTTGATAATCCTACAGGTCTTTTCTGACCTTCGTGGTTCCATGATTTTATGAAACTCTGTATGTAGTAGACATGTTCTACCCTGGCAGCATTCTGAATGTTTCCTTTCTTAAAGCCTGAAAGTCTTTGTTTACTAATGAGTTTTTTTTCCTTCCTCTCTTACTGTTATGTATCTATTTGTCTAGTTTTTAAATAAAAAATTAAGAGGGAAAGTAGTGTTTCCTGCAGTGTTTCCTCAAAAAGCAAAATCTGAGCAAAATGGCAACAGGAAGAGGCAAAAATGTTTGCCCTCAACTGGTAAATGTAAAGATTAGAATAATTTAGTCACTGCCAGTTCAACGACAACTTTAAATCTGCACTGAGGCACCTTCATATATACATCCATTAATGACTGTGTGCTTTGCTTTTTGGCTAGCTGCTTTTTGATTCTACTTCTGCAAAAGTTAAAAGACACGTTACACGTTTGCAAATTCATCTTCCTGAAGATAGGGTGATGGTGTATGTGACATGCTGACCACAACCTCCCAACTGGTTAGCATGTAAAAGGCACTGGAAATGGAACCGAGCTGACTGTATGATTACCTTCTAATATATTGTAGTTGTAACTTTAAACTGTTTCATCAGTGTTTGCAAGCCAGGGTAGTAGCCAGGGACAGGGCAAACCTAGAATATCAGTGAGGAACACCAAAAGGGACAGCAAAGAGAGAGTTGTTAGTACTGCCCAGCGACTAAAGCTGAATTCTCTCCACTAGAAGGTGGTGTGGGGGTGGGAGTTGGCTATGGCACAGGTGCAAAAGGCTGCTGCTGTAACTTCTCTTGACTTTTTAAGTGGAGAAGAGTTAGACCCTCAGAGTTCAGATATTTCTCTCAGCCGTTCTAGTGTGGTGACCTAAATCAGCCACGTATTGGAACTCTGCATATGATTTCAGATGATTAATCAATGGACTCAAATTACAAAGGGCAATTGGCTGGAAGTTTTTAAAAGTATGAACAAAATTTTTTAAAAAGAAATTTTTAATTTTGGTCATCTTTTTCAGAGCTCAAAATTTTGCATGTGTCTTAAATATAGTGCAGCTTGCAGCCTAAAGGATAAATTTCAGCTGCTTTTATTACTCATCCAGGAATAGTAATGCTACAGTCAGTCTTTAGTTAATATTATAAGAAGACTTACTTGAAGTAAATTCAAGTTGTGTTCCTGTTACTGAATAAAACTGCACATACTGGAAATTGGTAGTATGGCACCCAAAACTGAACCGATGAGGCACAAAGCTATGAAATGTACAGTGTAAATTAAATAGAAAAAGACAATGCCTTTTTTCTTCCCTTTCAAATAAAGTAAAATAACTATAAATGGAATTACTATATTGGATTTTTGGTCTGTTCTAACAATCTGCCTACCTGATTCCTTTTACACCTAACCAGAGGATTTCTGTGGGACAGTAAGCTAAACTGTATATTGGCTACTTCACAGTAGGTCTTAAACTTGTATTTTATGAACACTTCAGGAAAGCAAACAGACAATATTTTGAGCTTTGAGAACACTGTAACAAGAAGTTGCAGGCTTCTGCTCTACTAGATTCTCTAGACTTCTGTAAGCTTCTGGTTTAGTGGTGAACACATCAGTGTTGAGTTAATGGCTGGACTCTGATCTTAGAGGTCTTTTCCAGCCTTAACAATTCTGATTCCACGGACATTATCTTCGATCTACTTACATGCACCTCTTTCTTTGCACTAACCTGAACAACCAAATATGGGTCAGAATCTTAATACTGAGTGTAACATACAATGTTATGTAAAATAGTGAATTAATTCTTAAATTCCTCAGTGCAACCATAATTTCACTCAGAGATCAAATACATATAGATCAATTATTATTAACTTGCACTTTTAACTTTAGTAAATATATGTCAGGTTTTATGTTCATTCCCTAGAAAGTTACTGACAGCTATCCTTTAATCTTTTACACAACCTTTCAACATTCGAAGAACAACTGATGCATAAAGAAAGGATACTCAGACTGCAGTATTTCTAGTTAGCCAGTAGCTAATCCTTTGATAAGTTTTGTATATTTAGTGCTGTACTACCTTTTCTGCTTTGTTGGGCACAAAGTTGTTAGATGGTTGTGACTTATGACTTTATTGTTGAAGGTTGAAACTAGTGTGAAAACTTGAAATGTTGAGGATCATCACAAACAGGAAGTCATGATGTAAACTTGTTTTTAATATGCACTGGACTTGGATACTCTGTCTGCCTTTTCAGAAATTTGTGTCCAATTGCCATTTGTTCTTTTCATGAATTGAAATCTTTTCACCTAGCATTTTCTTTCTTCCTCCAATTCCCTTCCATTCTTAAAGCTATCTCTACAGTATTATCTTCCAGCTTAGTGGGATTTTAGCCTAAAATGCTTTCTCATTGTGCAGTCCCAACAGGCTACAGCTTCTGTGGAGCAACTTTTGTTACTCTTGCCAGTAAGTACGGAAGCTTGGTTGCCCTGTCTTTGGCACAGGAGAAACAAGGTCTAGTGAGCACTATATTCTGTCACTTGACTTTCCAGTTCATGTGTTTTGATCAATGTGACATAAATGACATGAGTATACAGACACTGCACGATTCATACTATGGTTATATATTCTCAGGCTGCACAAGGAGTGGTAATACTTCACAGAAGTTGCCTTTGATTAGACACCAAAATGATAAGTGAAAGCAACTTTTGTGGTACATTTTTACTGTTCAAGAACATATCCCATTCAGTAGGCAGTACTGAAGTAAAGCTGTTATCCTATGTGGAAATGAATACACTGGAAGTTTTGGACTGTTACGAGTTTCCACTAAGTAAATTTAAAAGTTTAAGAAAAAGTAAGATGAATCTCGAACAAGTTGTTACTCTTTTCAACACAAATCACATACTGAGGAAACAAGGAGAGGGTGTTCGTAGTTTTCCACTTTTTCCTTTTAATTCAAACTGAATGGAATTAAATGATTTATAAACTGCTGAAGTTCTGCATTTCGTGCACTACCCCTCTGTACGTGCAATCAGTTTATATATATTACCCAGCAGCTGGCTCTGCTTCCTGTTGGATGTTGCAAGGCTTGCATGTGTTACCTAGATTACAGGAGTGGTACAAAAGATTAGAATTGACGTGCTTACCCACAAACTACACTGGCAGACCACAAGACACCTTTGGAGACAAAAGCGAGTGGTTTCCAGTCTTTCAGACTTTGTGATTTAGGACTGAAGTGCTTAAGTTGTTTTACATGAAACTTTACAAAGTTTGTCATATTGTT